CTTAACTGGTCCTTATATCGCTATTATAGCTACGGGACACGATACCAGTAATCATCAGTTTCATTTCGTCGCAGAAAATAGCCAGCGGATTACCCCTATGTAGGCGCATTATTACCTACCTACCTACCTATCTCCTAACCTAACTTACATACGAGGCAATACCGGTAACCTAGTCTTATGTGCTTAACAGTCCCCTAATAGCAGCAACCCGAAACCCAGCACCACCAGCCGTGCTCGGTTTACATATCAATAAGTAATCAAGACCCCGGTCACTTACGGTAGTACGCAGTTATATCAAAACGGAAGCCGATCTTACTTCTATATTCCCTAAACAGGAAAAAAAAAAAAAAAAACCACCAAAAGAAATAAATAATAATCAAGGAGGGGAGGCGAATCAGAATTCGCCCACTCGCTACAATAATCAACCAATTAACACCCATGAGAAATACGGGACCAGGTTCGCTCCAATCTAACGTGCCTAACATAACCTAACCTAACCTTTCTTCTCCCCCTTCCCTTCCCTTCCCTTCGCAAGAACCCCCCACAGACTCAGGTGGCTCGTCTGGGGTTCTCACGACGAGGCCCTGCCGCTGTTGTTGTATGAGGTACCTATATCTATATGTAAGTAAGTAAGTAAGTAAGTAAGGATAGATAGTGTAATGGTATAATAAGCTGCAGAGCAACATACATACAGATCGTCGCGGGTACATGCGCGTAGGTATGTATCCATCCATCCACCCCATACATACATACACGAGTCATGAAAGAAGAAAATTTGAGAGATCTCCTGACAGGGGGGCGTGGTTGGAGTTTAGTGATTCGACTCAACATACAAGGTACATACACATATATGTACATACCTAACCTTACCTACCATGTCAGATTACATAAAGCATTATGGAGAGCGTCTACATGGAAGCAGATGTGATGCCAAGAGTATCAGGTAGAGCTATGCGAGTTGTAGGACTCGTCGATGAGTATACTATGAGGTAAGCAGACCAGAAGTATGGTAGAGAGCACAGCACAGCATAGCATAGCCTCCAAGACAACTCCTCCGGTAGAGACGGGCTACAAGCGGCGGGCGGTGCGGTTGCAACATCGACACCATTTAGCGATCGCATCGAAGAAAAATCTCGTCGCAGAAATATGATTGTTGCGAAAGTGCATGTAGCGTGATTCCTGCGATGTTGCTGTGACATACCTGACACATATACACATACGTTATTTTGAGTGCTTACGGTATTTCAACACACGTACACTATATTAGACATATTTATTATTAGCCATCTCCCTTGATTTCCCCTGTTTAATGCGTAAGTTCTGCATACCGTCGCTCAGCTCGCTAGGGGCTAAGGAGCACAGTCGTCGTCAGAGGCTTTTCAAGGGGGTCGGTTTAAACATCAACGGAAATGTCACTTCGGCGTAACATTGCGAGCCGGCGAGATCTGCCTATCTCAGCCAGCCCGCTGTAACTTTAGCACGAACAAAGCGATTCGTTAAACCTGCCAGGCAGAATCTGCCCCGTGACAGCTGCCGGAAGCCGCTAGAGATGCAACATGACGCCCCATTCGCTACCAGCTAACGTCCGCTTCTGGTCACCTCCCTTCGGGAGTTCGATACACTCGAGCTATTGTGTGGCCAAATTCGCAAAGACAAATGGCCTCTGCGCTTGTGCTGTTACCATCTTAGGAATATCGTGCCTCGCATGCTTAATGCCTAGAGCCGATTTGAACCTATCAAGACCTCCCTGTCTAGTCGTCATCACTATCCTCGACCAGATCTTCCTGGTCGTTAAGTGCCAGCTGCACGAATTGGCGAACCCATGCCTCGTCTCGCGCATCCAGTTGGCCGTCTCCGCGGAGCACGTCGTCCTCCCCCATCCTATTCTGGCCGTTGCGACCGTTATTGTTAATTTGTTGGTTCTGCCCCTGAAGTCGATTCCGGTTGTTTTGCCGATTTACCCCGGGGCCTCTACCTCTCCTATTTCCTCGGCCCCCTCGCAGACCCACGTTGAAGGCGTGGACTTCGCCATGGTTGTTTGGAATGCCGGGCTGACGACGTCGTACTAGATCCTGAGCCGGCGGTACGTCGCCCTCGATTCGGAGTACAAGCGGCCCTTCACGGGCCACGGCGACTCTTCCATTAGGCTGATTCCTTGGCAGTTGGCGTTGACCGGGTCTTGGCCGGGGTTGTTGGCGTTCTGCCGCTACTAGCGCTTCGCCATCAGCCTCGTCAGGCTCGTTAACAATGCGCCGTTGAACAATTTCTAGGTGTTGTTCGTTTCTGCCAGGCGCAGCGGCTATGTTTCTAATACCATTCCCCTCGTGTCTGATCCCAGCTTCGCCACCATCGCCATCATTTAACTCCCATAGTCTCATGTAGCAGTCATTTTTCTCACCTGATGGTGGAATGTTGTAGTGTCGATACTATGATGTCTAGGGTTAGCCATTGTTATTTTCAAGTGTCAAGAACGATTCGAAGTCCGAGGCTAAACTCGAATCCCCAACAGTCAAGTGCCCTCTAAAGGGACAAGTGGATATGTCTAACATGGGAAATATCGGAATTCTACTCACCGGGTTAGAAGGATCGAGCCAGGCAGAACAGAGGTAGCAAAAGTGTGTTTGGCATTTGAAGCAACACATATGATTGCAGCCCTGCGTTTTCTGACATGGAGCATCGCAGGTAGGACACGGTGTGGTGTGCGCCTTCAGATACTCCAGCGACGCTTTCTCTTCCTCCGTGATCTCGTCTCTTCTTTCTTTCGGTATGCAATATTTGAATTCGCCATGCCACGACTGTTGACATCGAGTACAGAAAGCGAATTCACAATCCTCACAGATAGCAAGCAAATCTTGTGCCGATTCCTTCTTCTCCGTATCATCCTCCGCGATGTCATCTATATCGGACTCGAACGGTTCGACGAATTCAAGCCCCTTGGGCTTCTTATGTTTCTTTGATCGAGCCGCGCCTTGGCACCACGATCGAGGGCAATATACAGTATTCTTATCCGACTCGAGTTCGTTTTTGTGTCTTAGCGTGACGTAACGCATGACCATATCTCGTTCCAGGGGAATTTGTAAGAGCTCGCTAGGGCTGATGAAGGTCTTGGCTTTCTTTTTCCTGCTGGAACCTTTAACAGCATCCTCCCGTTCCTTAGCACATTTTGGTTGGAGACATCGTATTGAAGCTATATCGCCTTCCGTAATAGCATTGTTATAAAAATCCTGTAAGCACTGTACGCAGAAGACATGGCCACAGTCGAGCATCTTGTGGCAAACGCTCCCCTTTTGAGGATCTGATCTCTAGTATTAGTTATGTGCATATGTAGTAAATCGCCTCCTTTTTGGTACTTACCTAAACAGATATCGCAATTGAAAGTTTCTTTGTCAAAAGCCCTCTGCTTAGCTTTAATATCATAGTCAAGGATCTCTATCTTATGTTCTAACCCAACTCTTAAACGACCACCATCGTCGACTAACCCAAAGACTGTTTCAGAAGACTGTTGTAAATTATCGAGATATGTAAATATGACTTGGTCGTGACCGATTTCTTCCCACAGTGTTACCACTTCGGTTTCGAGCTTGCGTAAGATATGCCCTGGCAGCCAAGGGGGCGAAACCGAAATATCGACTCGGGGTGGCTCTTCTAAGGGATATTTGTCCGGAAGTTGTATAACGATGTGCAATGATGGTAGATTTGACAAGGCGTGTAAATCTACGGCTGTGACCACTGGGATTCGGCCCTGTACTGGCTCGACCGAAGGAGCGCCTTCGTTGGCGGCTGGGAAGAATACAACTACTGGATTTGCTAAGCTCACAGGCATTTCGATTGATATCTTATAAGGGTCATTTTCGTCGATCTGTAACTCGGGATAGATGGACGCTATCGTAGATAGCTCAACCTGACGAATATCTTCCTCCGCCATCCTGACTTATGGTTCACGTCACCGGTTCGCATAAAGGCGTGTGTAGACGTGATTGTTTATGGACATCTCCATGAGTTTGTGTTTCTAATATAATATTTCCTCTCGTCGGCCAGGTAATGTGAGCATTTACCGTCACTACATTCTCTTTGTGAGCTACTACACTCTCTTTGCGAGCTACTAAACTTAGTATCTGAATTTCAGACCCGAATATTATGCTCTAGGTCGTGCTAATAGTGAGCTCTTAAATGCTGTTTAGAGGCCTAAAGAAAATATTAGAAAAATAAAGAAAAAAGCCAAATCTACCTATCCTCTCTATATTAGGTTATAGGCTAGGTCATATACTCAGGAACAAGAGACAAAATTAGAAAGTGGCGTCGATATGAAAGACGGTATGACTCGAACGGCAAAAAAAAAGAGCAGTGGGGCAGAAATATGTTTGTAGGTAAAAGGAAGCTTACGGCGATTATCATAACCGCCTATCGATATTGAAGGTGAGGGGCAAAAGAGTAGAAGGCGCAACTTTATTATGACGCCTAAGTATTACAACAGCAACTACCACCTAACATATCTCTAACTAGAGCTAGAGCTTAGGAGGTTTAGCGCACTTATTGTTATCTCCGCAGTGTACCTATAATAGTATATATTTCTGCCCAACTGGCTGACAGCTGACCGCTTTTTTGCTTTTGCTAATGACGAAATTGTTTTAGACCCTTGTTTAGAGTTAAACCCGAGGTAGATTCAAGTGTATCGCGACTTTTTCATAACATCGTGAAAATACCAAATGCTTAATTTGATCTACGTATCTGGACCTACATAGGTACTAGTTAGCGTTGGGTGTTAGACAGGCTAGTCTGATGCTAGAGTTTTATTATTGATTTCCTATCAGACGAAAACGCCACTTATCATATTATATTTTAGTTATACAGAATTCTCGCTTTAACACTCAACCTCAATCCTATTGCGCCGAAAGCAATGCGTTGCTAAAATATTTCGAATTGCTCTCGCTTCAACCCTCTATCTAGTTCGCCACTCACAGACACTCATATAATTCGCCTCTTCCTTTAATATATCCGGCATGTCTGACGATCCAGTGCCCCTAGCATCTTTATCACTTACCCACGTCCACTATGTGAGTTCATTATCTGCCCGCCTGGATTCTATTTCAAAGCTAACCAGTCCCCTTAACTCCATAGGACCCCTCCGATCCCATATCCTACCTCTGCGCCTGGCTGGCCCTGATCCCCCAGGGGCTATGTGTCATGTACGCGACGCTAATCTGGTCGACCCGCGAGATCGAAATAGCGCTTCTGTTCGCGGGCCAGCTCGCCTGCGAGGCCCTCAACTTTGCGCTTAAGCGATTGATTAAGGAGGAGCGACCCCGTCGCATGAACGGGAAGGGTTATGGAATGCCAAGCAGCCACGCGCAATTTGTCGCGTACTTCGCCGTCTCGATAACCCTATTTCTACTACTTAGACACCAACCGCCAAGTCCCAGAGTCAGGAAACGGAATCATACGCCGATGAGTCTGCTTGAGAGGACTGGATGGAGCGCGATTGGGGTGGGTATGGCGGCTGCAGTTGCATGGAGCCGGGTATACCTAAACTACCATACTGAGAAACAGGTTCTCGTAGGCACTGCCGCCGGGGTGGTGAGCGCCGTGGGTTGGTTCATTATTACGACTATAATACGGCGGTCGGGCTGGTTGGCATGGGCATTGGACACACCTATAGCCAGGTTCTTCCGTGTCAGGGACCTCGTTGTGGAAGAAGATCTATGCCAGGCCGGTTGGGAGAAATGGGATGATAAGATGACAGCACAAAAAGCTAAGCGAAAACACAAGTAAACTCCTCGTCGTGGCTTATGGTTAAGTTAGTCAAAAGTTCACATTACTACCTACTCACTACTTTGGCAAGCGGCCATGGCAAAAATAAAATTTATCTCAATCAGCCTCGAAAGGACTACGTATACGTGATGAAAGATATAAGGCTGCTACATCGGACCAGTAAGCAGTACGCCAGATGCTACGAAGGAAAGTTGACGCCATTTCAATTTGCAATATATCCTGGTGTTGAAGTAACTCTTGAAATGCCAACTGGTTACAGTATATTTAAACAACTATATTTAATCAAGATGTCATCACAACATCCATATCTCCATTCTCCACCAATTTCATGCTACTTAAGCTGGGCGCGAGACTATCCATTTCCTGCAGGGTATATTCCACCAGATAGCTCTCCTCAACCAGCTCTTCCATACGCTTATAATGCCTCTCGGTATAGACCTTAAGCGCGTTCAGGACCTCCTTCACACTCTTCTGGCCCCGCGCTCCTTTAACAGATAAATTAGAGAAACGTGACGCTGGGTAACTCTTTATGAGCGCCCAGAGAATACGTTGGGCCATCGGTGCTGTCCGAGCGTTGGTATTCCAATCTCTTAGCCTTAGCAAAAGCAAGAATAGCTGGTCGTCTGAAAGAGATGCTAGCACTTCGTCGACTGCCTTCAGGCCTGAAAGACTCTCGGGATCCGCTGTCTTCGAATTAACTACCCGTTCGAAAAGGCTCTGAAGCTTGCGAGGGTGGTTGAGTTGAAGCGCCATCGTGATTGCCTCGCGGTATGCTCCCACATATTCGTAATTCTCAAGTTCCTGTTCTTGCTCAATACGCTTTAGAGCTGCTTCGTTGGAAGCAGTCTGCGTCTCGCTTGAAGTATCCTTCCAAAACGTTACAGTTGAGTCACCGCTACCAGAGACAATCATGTTCGTTTCGGGGTGCACCGCGAGAGCCCAGACTCGGTCCTCATGGTTATCCAATGTGCATTCGTTCTCACCATTATTGATGTCCCATACTTTCACCAGCCCATCTCCTCCAGCACTGGCGCATAGTATAGGCTTTTTACCGCGCTCTTCGTTTGGAGGGATGTTAAGCCATACTACTTTAAGAACCGTATTCGAATGGCCCTCGAATGTTCTCAAACATGTATAATCCGTGAGATTCCAGAGTTTTACAGTCTTATCACCACTTCCTGTGAGTATTACACCTTTCCCAGCAACTGATCCTTGCTCGCCCTGGAGCACGGGTGTGCTAGGGGGGGCAAAACTGACAGACCAAACACCTCGCCGATGGCCTCGGAGGATGCCTTGCACTTCTCCTTCTTCTATCGACCATATTTTCACGGTTTTGTCCTGGGAGGCTGAGGCAAATAAGCGCGATGCATGATTCATGTCGATAGCATTGATATCCTTGTCGTGAGCCTTTCGTGTATAAGCAGCTCTAATGGTCGTCTTTACGCCCTGTTGGGGCTCTTTAGGTATCTCCCAGCGTTTTATAGTTTGATCCGACGATCCCGTGATTAGGAATGAAGGGGGGTGACTTAATGGATCAGCATATGCCTTTGAACCTTCTACCGGCCGACTTCGAGGCAATGCCACGGCCCCGACAGATTCGGCATGTCCTGGGAATGTTGCCCAGCAGATATAAGAATTATTAGCCGGATCTACTCGCCACAATTTCGCGGTATTATCTTTAGCGCCCGTAGCGACCCAGTGTCCAGACCAGTCAGCATCAAGCGATATGATGATGTCTTCATGACCCTTAAGAAGCGCAATATCCTGCCCAAAGTACTCAGAAGACACTATAGCTTTCGATCCAGGCCTTGACCCAGTTACCGAAACTATCCGGATGTCTTCGGAGTTCGTTGCTAAAGCCATTGCAGAATGGTCAGGAAGTAGATATCGTAAGTCTATGATATCGTCGTGGGTGCCCGAAATTCGGCGAAACGGTTCAGGAGGCGGGAGTTGGGACTGCTTATGGACATCGGAGGGAATATCATACAGAGATAGAGTGTGATCGACCTGAACACAGACTACAAATGGGAACTCTGGCCTGTAGACAGCTCCTACAAAAGCTTCAACCTCAGATTTCGGCGCTTGTTCTTTTGTGAGTTCCCTGCCTGTTTCTGTGTCCCAAAAGCGTAAGCACCCGTTCGACCCAGCAGTATAGGTAAGTTGGCCATCCCCAATAAAACCAGCTGCCTCGACGAGTTCGAAACATGGAACGACCTTTCGAACTTTCCAAGACTTTGTATCCCACCATCTAATCGTTTTGTCCCTACCGGCAGTCACTAGTACATTTTGAGAGGGAGAATAATCTAGGCCTTGGACATCCGAAACGTGCGAGTCGAGGTTCGCTACAACATTCCTCTTATGTAAGTCCCATATACGAACTTTTCCATCTTGACTTCCTGAGGCCAGTCGGAATTTCGCCGTGGAACTCGTGTCATTTCTATCATCTTCAGTTGTGCCTTTTGGTTTTCCTTTTTTCCCTTTTTCTTTTGTATCGTTTTCTGGGGCGCTTGACGAACTTGCGGCAAGTTCAAAAAAGTGAAGGGCAGACACAAGAACGCTCGGGCCTCGAAATGTATGCGTGACATAGCCGCCACTTATATCCCAGACTTTAATAGAACCATCGGTTCCTCCAGTTGCTAAGAGGGTGCTAGTCCTATCGACAGCGAGAACAACGACGGGAGTCGAGTGAGGTTTGAGCGTTCGTACCAATTGAGGTTCTATCGAGTCGCTTGAGGCTTTGAGGGCATATATCCGCATGGATAACGAGCGGGAGCATATAATGAGGTGGGATCCCGAAGGAGTCACTATATTACAATGAGTTATGTTGCGCTTAGTCTTGACAAATGTCCACATCACTTACAAGTTAAAGTAGATATTAATTCTCCATCCTATAATATAGATGTTAGTATAAATCCAGTTAATAATAATCACTCAATCACCAAACACTAACCCCTTCCACTGTTGTGATATGTTTTCCAGTCTTGATGTCGGTCAAGACAGCATCCTCACCAAGGGTTGTTGCGAGAACTCGTGCGCCATTCTCCAATGCGACAGCGCCACCTGTAAAAATGGGCCGAATTACTTCGCTGGCCTCGAAAGTTGTCTTAAACGGCGCCTTATTCGCCATTTCGGAACTGCGCAAACATATAAATAAGTTGCAAGAACCTATTCTTTTTTTGCTGATGGGATGTTCAGGAAATTTTTATGACGGAGATGGATATCGATAAGGATTTATTAATTCACCTGCAAGTAATCTGCCTCTAGCGCACTTTAGCTGCTGCTAGCAGGTACGTACTACATGTAGCTGAGGTCCCAACCACTGTAACCTAGGTACCAGTAGGTACATGTATGACTTGGTCAATGCTTCCCCAATGTTAACATTCATTTACACTAGGTACAGTAAGAACATCTCATCCATTGTCTTCGCCTTCCACAACTTTATCAACACTTACCAATCTCATGTCTTTCCTTAAAACTTAAGAGATTTCTTGTTGAATCTCAGATTCGCCTAAAACAAATTCCTCTACCTATGCACTGAACGAACTGCATTTCATAATGGGACGACTTGAGCCCTTAACATCCCTAGCACTAGTATGTACTCAAATATAATCTCAAATCTATTGTCACGAAGAGGAGCTCATGAATCTATAGGGGAGATCTCCTTACGATGATGTCGTTTTAGGGGAAGGAGAGCAAGACCCTCATGAGCCTGAAAAGCAATACGACGGGACAGGGCGTATTGTGAATCCCCGAACAAAGAGGATCATCAAGGATATTATTCGCGCCCACAATGAAGTGATGCTGGTCATAGGAGTCGCCGAACCTGAGAATAATGGCATCAGCCCGGCCGACATAGAAATTACAAGGCAGTATCACGAGTATGAGAGTGACACAGGACGAACGTTATATCAAGCCGGTACAACTCTTGGTATATTAGGCACCTGGGGTGTTCTCAATATCCGACGACGCATTCTGGTAAGTTAAGATATACCTTTATTATAAAGGCAAGTTTTCTCTAGGCCCCCTAACATTCCAATAGGTGTATAAAAGACACGCAGATGTCTCGTTTTTTCGTATGATACAAACGGAACGCAGTAATCATTCCATTCTACAGTTATGCTTTGCAGGCTATCCGTGCCACCTGGTTATGCATGGATTACGGTTGACTTCTAGGTACATGAATGCATTTACGACCAGAGGCAAAAACCCTTGGTAAGTTTAGTGCCTTGGTTATTTATGATGAAGGCTGATGTTTTCCAGGCTCCATGGCGCCATCGAATATGTTCGATTTCATTTACACCTATTCCTAACAATGCAACGTTTAGATCTGGTACCCGCATCTCAGCTGCTTCCCGGCCCTAAATTCTTTATACCCTTTTCCAGCTCTTCTCCATTAACTGCGCCACCTCCGCTTGAATCATTTAGCATCTCAAGCGTCTCTAGGTGGGTTGGTCAGTTGATTATAGGCTTGGCACCTTACGCTACATTTTATGTTTGTGGTTTTCTTTGGCAGTCGGCATGCGCTACATGTAGGGTATACATACGAAGGCGTCTACCACGTCCTTTAAATTTTCATACGAGCAACCGAGGTCTGGCTTCCACTAGCGTAACTCAGAGGCAAGCTATTCCGGAATCACCAACTTTGGGAACATCTGATAGGGATGTTAGGCCTCAGAATTTAGAATCTGATGCTACGACTTCGCTAGCTTTAGATGTCCAATCCAATGGTGAAACGGTTCCCGTCGGCTCAATCAGGCGACAAAGCACATTTTCAAGCCGAGGCGGGGAAGATTACGGGACCGATGAAGAAGACTCTGAGATGGTCAATCCTACATTGATTAGCTTTGACGTGGATACTAGCGAATCTACGGAACCGCCTACTGGAGTCTGGTCAGCGGAGCTACGGCCGAGTCTTCAGGGAGACTCTCGTCAGCAGCCCAAAGAAACACCTCGCTATATCGTAAACCCCCTTACCAAGCTGCCTAGCTCATTTGCAGCTGACATACTTGCTAATTTCATTACAAACATCCTTTTCCTGCCTATTGATATATATGCATTCCCGATTGCTGCACGGGCGCTTGCATATAGGAGAGGCCTCCCTTACGAGGGTATGAATATTGGAGGCGGTGTGACATGGAGTGGAATCTTCAATATCGTACAGCTGGATGTGGTTAAGCTGCTCATCTCTGGCGAGATCTGGGCTTTTACTACTATAGTTTCGCAGTGGTTACATGTTACCGAGGAAGAGTGGAAGGAAATACGCAAGGAAGAAGACCAAGAATGAGCAGACCTCCATTAAGAGTTCACCCAACGAACCTGAGATTCCTATCTGCTACACATACAGCTGGTACAAAACCAGCGCTAAATTCGGCAATGAACTCAACGATTATTGATGTTCTAACCGCGGCTAAGATCATGTTATGGCGCCTATACCATATGGGCGGTTAGATAAGAACATGCATTTTGTTGATTAAGCGGTTGTGATACCAATATTATAAGGGGCAAGGCGGGAAACTAGGTGTACTATCGTCATTCCGCACATAATTATATACGATGTTTATCCAAGCGGACTGCTACGGTAGCACTTCGTAGAGTGCGGTATTACGCGACGATGGATCTCGAATAACCACGGTACCTAAATCCATCGCAAAATGGAACGTATCGTGAAGCCCTTTAGCCATCTCCGATGGATATCAAGCTTTATGCAGAACAATCCCTAACAAAATTAATTTAAATATTAGATAGTCTCCAACGTTGTGCACACCCATGCGAATATAATAATGTATTTGCAGAAAAGCAAGCCCCAGGCTGAGGAATATCACGGCTTCGCACTAGAGAGAAATACAACAGCCCAAACATAGTTACCTTAACTCACTAAGCAACACCGTCTTTCGCCCCTTCTTTCCCGGTATCCTACTCCCGGCGTGAAGATGAGTGGATATCGGCCCATATTTATACGTTCCAAGGGGCTCTCCCGGAGCATCTGCAACGTCTCCGCGGGCGGCCCGAGTCCAATGCAGCTACGTCCAGAGCTATCGGTGTTCCTTATCTTACTTGTGAAGCGAGTTTCATTCGTGATCGCGGAACGCCTCCTACGTACCTAAGGTAGGTGATCTCACAAAGCGACGTCGATCCTGACGATGTGGTGAAACGGCGATTACTGAGCTCCGGTTGCTCCGGTAGCGGCTCCCTTTTCCCCATTGCATAACCGGAGCAGGATCGATCGCAGCTGAGGCACCTGAGTCATCTCCTTGCTTATTCCCGCTTGGAGATCTGCAAGCCCCGGTAATGGCTCGGCATTCCGCTTTTTCTCCCAACACGCCGAGTCTCGGCCTGCGCGACCCGCTGGCAGCGCGCCGGCGGGGTCCCGTCGGGGAATAGCGGAGTCTGGTTTATGTTTGTATGTCTTACCTTAAGTCTTTAACCTAGTATCGTGCAAGTGATATTCGTTAAGGGCTCGAGTGCATTCAGCCGTAGTAGTATGAAGTTTCTACTTATATGTCTATCAATCTTGTAATGACCCCGCTATAACTCACCCCACCATCAACTTCATGATTTCTTTTTCTAATTATATATAATACATGTTACAACTTGTGTTCCCCCAGATTTGGGCGTCTATGTGACATATTGGTTCAGAGGCAAGCTGTGAGAAACCTAGCCTTGGCATAACTACCTAATTATCAAAATTTCAAGCTCGGCTCTTATTGGTGCGGTTGGGGTTGGCACTGACGGTTTGTTAGTACGTAATCAATGTGGTGATGCCCAGGTATGTTCTAACAATTACGGATTTCTGGTCTAAGTTTTCCTTTGACCCTTCGAGCAACTTTCAGCGATCAGATGTGACTAAACGAATAATGCAGATTTAAAAGAAAACAATGGAAAATGGGTTGCCTCTAAGACAGCAAAGCAAAGTTTTCGAGGTCTAGATGCTCCAAGGACTATTGCAATCTAGCAGGAGGTGGCGTGATTTACTGGCCGTTTGCATCGTGCTGAGAAGGATCCTATGCGGGATACCAATTTAAGACATCCGTTGGTATTGAAGGATAAAAATTCAATTGCTGGTATAATAATCTGCCAATTCCTTGGACAAATGGTAAGTGTGCTTTCGAGTATCTTGAGCATACGTAACTAGTTGTTGGATCGGGCGAGAGGGTGACTTTCACATGAATCTTGCGGGGCCCCAGAGTCCAGGCCAGCGAACCCAGACCCTTGGTGTTGGCAGATAAAGACGTGAGCTCGACTAGAGCGTTCTTGGGATTAGTTTCAACCCCATTGCCATGCGATGCGGAGTAATCTAACCTTAGGCGGCTACTGTAGATCACCCCATGATTTTGATGTGTTCCTAAGATGAAATGGCAATTGCTCCGATCCCTGGGTCTCGTCCGATTATAATTCTAGTCCGGGGGGGGGATCATGAGAGTATAGAGATAAAACCACTATAACTACAAGCAAATCCTAACGTAAGATAGCTAAGGATCAGCACAATTATATTCAACCTCTCTTGACAAATGATCACATGAAGTTGGAGTGTTCCTATCGCCCGCGACCTTCTCCGCATTTGAAAATATGTAGTTAGTATCGTTAAATAATACCTGAAGCAAGGGTTCTAAAGCTGCTAGTGGATAGACCATGTATTCTATTTGCTGAAACTTGAAAATACGTTGCAGTCGTGAGGACTAAACACGAGACAAGACTAGGTTACTATAATTCCCGGAACATCGTATAGTCTTGTCGGGTCCCGTGTTGGCCGTCTATTCAAGCCGTCCGGTCTACCGGTGTGTCAACCATGTGGTAGCCAAGTAGATATTACTCACATCCATGATCTAGCCCGGAGGCCTAGAGCTTGGCACCGGGCGCCTGGAAGGGAATAAGATCTCGATTTGTTGCCTAGTTTTCCTTTGTCCTTTGTCATGATAAGTGTATAGTAAAAAAAAGATTCGTTGGTACTTTTTTAAGTATTTGGAGATCATGCCGTCAATGTTATATTCAAAATGTTGAAAGGAAAGCCTTTAGTCCGACTGGTGACAGGACAAAGCGGAACGGCGTGGGGCTGAGTAAGACGCGGTGGAGACCTCCGGAGGACCTAGTCCTGATATATGCACCCGCTTAGTATGCATCAAGGTGGAGAACTTGCAGGGTTACGTAATGTGAGGCTAATGGTGAGTAAATGATCAGAGAGGTACGTACATAGGTACCATAGTATCGTTGCATTGCGCGTGGCCCTTTAGCCCGCTTTTTTCTAAGATTCAGGTGCTAATTCATTGGGGAAATATTTGACCCGCTTTCGCCGTTACATTTGATGCCGATTTTTAAGTCTTCGATTGGAAGTTACATTTTAAGTACGAAGTTACCTTCGATAAGGTACTGGAAACTCCGGCTTTTGGTTATGTTTGGTTGTTTTTTTGGGTTGTGTCACCCTGCCACAACAAATCCAAAGACAGATCGTGACCTTACAGAAATTTCATCGTTGATACGTCACATTCCTACCACATCCTACTATAGTACATCTTATTGTCTTCTATCCATATTGTAGAACAATCTGCAATACATGTTTCAATCTAAAAAAGAATTTGCATAATGTCGAAAAACCCGCCAATGCCGTTATTCAGATTTCTAACTCGTCTCCGAACACGGTTGACGGTTATTTGGATATTTTCGTTATTTTTTATAAAATCTAGAATTTCGACCGGTTTCTCCCGCTAGTTGAAGCCGAAACTGGAGCCCCAGCTGCTAAAGACATATGCAGACATGGCAGATGCTTGAATTGCTAACATTTTCTAATGAATACAATCTCATAGGACACAAGGTCCACTTGGCTTAGGGTTGGCCGCATGCAACATCGATGATGAGAGGACAAAGGAGTTTAGTGTGCTATGTACCTATGTATGTACATCGCGACGGTGACGGGGTCGACACCGATAATACCCCTGAAATTCTATGTTAGGTAAAAGTCTTCTATTATCCCGGTATTTACCGCCCAGGTTCTGCATGTTGTTACAATTCGAATGACACTTATCTGCGCTTGCGGCTTGCATTTTGCATTTTGCATTTTGCATACTGCAAACTTACGGAATGCATGCGTACAATCATCTTCCATGACGAGCGGTATTATATCGGATAGCCCTGCCCCCGGGACCACACGGATCATTGGTAGGCCGGGCGAACGGCCTTCGATCGTGTCTGTTTCTTATGTCGTACATGCCCAGGTCTTCATTATTGACAGGGGTGCGTTTACATACCAGATGCCAATTGGGATGAATGCTATCCCTTTTTTCGAATTTGACTGAGATTGTGATATGTGCTAATGGATCTATTCTTTACATCATCGCAAGTGCTCGAGCAACTTTCCTAGTAACTTACATTAATATCGAAATCTGTATTCAAGTCGTTTACATAAACGTCCCGATCGTTTCGTTAACTATTGCCTAATGGGTAAAAAGTTAACAATGATATCTCACCTTGATGGACATCAATTCTATAGAAATATCTTTTCCTCTTCCCCGCTAAGCTGACTCGAGGCCGTGGTCAGCTAAGCCGCCTTCAGACTAGGAAACTAAGCAACGTGATGCAGTTAATAACTGCAGAGAACCAGCGACTTGGTATTATTATAGCGTGTATCCGTGATTGGCTGCTCCGCAGAAACCAAGACTGACTGCTTCACGCCAATTAGACTTGGGCGTGGAGCTTTTTACAATCATGATCCTGAAGGCCAAGGCTGGGGTTATACGGAAAAGAATCGGAAAAGGAATCAACTCCCTAGACTCCATAAGGCAAGATTGCCTATAGTTAGCTGGAGAAGGTACCGTAAATGTATTATACTGGGTTATGATGTAGGTATTGCTTAGTTTGGTAGTCAACAAATCATATTCCTTCTATTAAGCCAGGCTATTGCTGTTTAGAGGAATTGTAGAGGTCACAAGGATGACGAGGCTACGCCTTACCAAATGCTTCAGATGTGGACATGTGAGAAGCCCGTTTTATCCTTCTAACGTTAGTCTCACGAAAGTGTTCCTTGCCGAAGCCAATGATAGGAGACGCACGCGAACACTTATTATGGAGATCGCAAAGCTAGGTTTTCACCAGGATTGCATGCAGGATATTAGACCCCGAATTACGATTATGAGCCCCCATCGGGAATCTAGTGGAGCGGCGACTTTTCCCAGAGAGGCATTCATTTATGACCGGTGGTAATCTGGTATTATGTAGTCTGGTAGTAAAGTAGTACTCTCGTGGTAACAATGGAATATACATAATACCATGAATCCCCCCCCACCAATATCCACCTCCACACAATCCCGTCCTATCCACCCGACCTTTCTTTCTCCTTGTTAATTCCAAAACTCCTAATCCCTAAAACTTCTTCTCATGCTGTCGAGAATCCTCGAGTCTCGTTTACTAGTTGTCGTTCGGTGTGGAAGTCAGAGGTGGGAGAGAGAAACCTCTCCCCCGTAGTCTCGTCGACGCAACTATCGACTATTAGATACGGCTTACAGCTTATACTTACAAACACCGTTTACCTCGTGACCTAGACATTCCAATACGTCTTCGTACTTTTTTTACACCGAAATTCGTCTAAGACATCTAGGATAACTCGGGTATTTCAGGAAATAGTTTCTTTCATACTTTTCCGTTACCAAAAACAACTACAAGTTTTCGTCTCGTTGGAAAAGGAATCTACAAGATGGCGATAGGAGACATACTCCCGGTCCGTTCACCCGAACAACAAGCCGACGAATCGGTAAACATCACCATGACCGACCGTCCCTCACCAATGCCGGAAGACAAGGAAACCTCGTCAGATTCGAATTCACAGTCAAAAAAGCGATCTGCGTCGACTTCGGAATCCAATGGCTCGGCCAAGATCACTAAGCGGAGAGCGGCGAGGGCCTGCATCAGTTGTAGGAGCCGAAAAGTTAGGTGTGATGTGGTCGAAGGGGCTCCATGCGGCAATTGCAGATGGGACAACGTCGAATGCATCGTACAGGAAAGTCGTCGTAGGAGGTGAGTTATCATCTTCCTTCCCCCTATCTCGTGAATTTACAAGTTCATGATCCAATTCATGTCTTTGGTATCTCATTATTCGATCCTAATTGCGTCATTCTCCAAAAATTGGTTTATTTTCAGCTCCAAAAAAAAATCTCCAAAACCACGTTTCTACTTTTCTACTTTGGTGCGTCGAAGCTTACAATCCCTGTCACTTTGTGTACTACAGAAAGAACCTTTTTCATTCGAATTCATCAACCGCTTCTCATAGCAGTGTTGCCCCGCAGGCTGCCGAGGCACAGTTAAGAGCGAAGCCCGCAAATCCAGTCGCAATCGCTTCGGCTGCAGCTCCGTTGCATTCCCCTAGCGAGGCAGCTCAATCTTCAACGTCTAGCAATGATGTAACTACTTCAGGGGGAATCTTGGATAATGGCTTGGAGAGTCACGTTCCTCATTTGCTATGTAAGTCATGGTTGTGGACCTCCAGATTTTCACATGCAAATATGCATCAACCTATCAACAAGGTGTCAAGCCTTGTGGAACGCAGTAAGCATCCCTCTAGTTGATCACGAGGACTGACATGTGCTTTAGATCAACGATCAGGTTTACGGCCTGACCCCGTATTGCTATCTACCCTCCAGGCTAGTAATACCGGATCAAGGTACCCCAGTATCTGGCCGAATCCAAACACGTGTCAGAGCTCAAGCTCGGCTGCCGGTACGGGGGCCTTGAGGACAGCACAGTTCCTCAACTCCCTCGAGGAGCCCGATGCGTCCTCGCAATTGCCTGCCTTCATCCGGCCTCTTCCGGCCAAGATAGCCCCTGAAGATGTGACCTACCTTCACACTAAGGGGGCCCTCACACTTCCAAGCCTTAGTCTTCAGAATGCTTTGCTTTCCTCGTACGTCGAGTATGTTCATCCTTACATGCCTCTCGTAGAGCTGCATGATTTCCTGGGTATGATCAATGCTCGAGATGGTCTATATGGTCAGATCAGCTTGTTCCTGTATCAGTCTGCCATGTTCGCGGCAACTGCCTTCGTTGATGTGAAGTATCTGAAGGATGCGGGCTATACCAGTAGGAAGGCTGCTCGGAGGGAGTTCTTCTATAAGGCTAGGGTAAGACTATTGTTCACGATCCTCTATACAGTTATTAACATATCCAGCTTCTATACGACTTCGATTACGAGAGCGACCGTCTCATCCTCGTACAGGGACTTTTACTGATGACATATTGGTATGAGACGCCGGACGACCAAAAGGACACATGGCATTGGATGGGAGTTGCAATCTCGCTAGCACACACCATCGGTCTGCACCGAAACCCGGCTAACACTAACATGACGCCGAGGAAACAGAAATTATGGAAAAGAATATGGTGGTCGTGTTTTATGCGAGATAGGTTGATCGCCCTCGGTATGCGACGACCGACACGGATAAAGGATGAAGACTTCGACGTTCCGATGTTAGATGAACACGACTTCGAGATCGAACCGCTCGCTGACGAGGTTCAAATCATCGGTCCCGAGTGTACGCTAATGCGGGATGTTATGATGCAACAGGAACTCGCCTTGATGTGCATTGCGAAAGCAAAGCTCTGTCTTTGTATTAGCCATATGTTGAAAGCACAGTACTCTGTCCTTATCAGGGATAAGTCGAGGGCAGAGAACACTACCAACAGCACGATGATGTTATTCCCTAACAAGCAGCTGGACAATGTGGAGGGTGTTAATTCATGCGACTTGGAGCTCCTCGCGTGGGTACAATCACTCCCGGTCTGCTGCCAGTACAGACCCTTATCAGCGCTTGACCTGAAGAACGGTCGCGCAACAGTCGCTGTACAGCGCAACCTTTTACACATGGTGTATTATACGACGATATCGGCTCTTCATCGACCACAGTTTCTCCCATCATCTCCGACGCATGCACCCCAGACGTCAGCGCAAGTTCAAGAGATCTCCCGGACTAGGGTTCGTGAAGCTGCAGCTCAAATCACGCGCATGGTTACCGACTTGCATACCCTGCGGCTTGAGAAGTATCTTCCGACTACTGGTGTCACTGTGATTCTTCCTGCTATGATCATTCACTTATTAGAGATGAAGAACCCGCTGCCACAACCTCGCGACGTTGCCATGCGAGGGTTCAAGCAGTGTATGAAGGTTATGGAAAAGCTACGCGACATTTATTCAGCCGCGGATTATGCAGTCGCGTTTCTGGATGCCGCATTGCGAAAGGCAGCTATTGATTTGCAAGTAGCGCAGAATCAAGCCTACGCAAACGGTGTTATGGGGACTACCAATGTCAAGACACCCTTGGCGCATTTCACCACTCCGGCTACCGCGTCGGTAATCGAGAACATGACCACGCCTCCACCAGAGAATGCACCGTATGCGACGACGCAGGAGGCTAGCCTATTCACGAAACCTGCGCCTCAACCGTTCGTGCCACCTACGGATCTGATCACCACCGCAGTCCACTCGCCCCCACATACCGAGAAGGACGTGCTTACACCTAGCGCGAGCGGATCCTCGGATGGACACGCTGCGACTATGGATATAGAAATGGATTTCGACAGCTTGGATAACCACGACGAATTCGACTGGAACGCGCTTACGGGTACTAACATCGACTTCGACCAGTGGCTACAGTTCCCCGGCGAAGGTATGGGAAACACGCGAACAGGCGGTGCGATGGGCGCCGGTCTAGTCACGATGAGCGATATCGACGGCTCGGCAAATTTCAACCTCGGCTTCGATAATGCCGGGCAGGGCATTGTTTCATAAGGACACAGCTAATGAACGCGATGAACATTTGACGTCTTGAGCCGTGGTGACGGCGAAAAAGGCTTGCTTTTAGGTAACTTACTCGTTGGGTTATTGGCGTTACGGGATTTCTACATACCGTTTTGCTATATAGATGTGGACATGCATAGGTAATTCCATGGGACGGGCGTTGGATAGGTACGTGGGGGGGGGGATCAAAAGTTCTACCTGGTTTTAGGGGAGCTGTATATAGTGCGGGTTTATTGTTTCTCGTCGTTGTTTTTTCGTTTTCCTATACCCGTGATGAGTATAGAATTGAGGGGAACGGGGGAGGGGTGAGTTCACTCGTGATAGACTTGGCGGAGGACTCGATATAATGATTAGTTCAATGAATATATTGATATGTCTTCTTATGCTTTTTTTTCTGCCTAGAATGCAATTCATGATGTATCATATATGCGGTGGTCCGTTTATGACTATGTATACCGGATATATTTATTATTCTGATTCTGATTGATAGACCCGACGGCCTGTATAACCCTGTCGCGGAGGAGGCTCATAAATAAATTGACCTAGCTTGCGGTGTGGCTCTTAGATGGACAAGGTAGCTGCTGCACATCATCTTTTTTCCCTGCAGCGAAATGCTACGAGATCCGAATATGATGTTCAAGATGATATCACGTAGTTTGACGTACATAACTAGATATTCTATGCATATGTATAGAGTTGAATATTGTTAACTAATAGTAATAGTATACGCGTATTTCTATCACATGAAGAAAAGTAATGGTACCTAAAATACCTAATAGGCTATGAGAGTGGAAGCCTTACCACGTCTATGTTGTAAAATGTATACTACGTATTCCGTACTGTGTGATCTTTATTCGATAAGGAAATTATCTGAGAGATGTCTCGGCGTACCTCATTTCAAGTTACATGTAGACAAGGGTATAGAGGTACCTCTACCCGCTAACAAGCAAGTCTTAAATTGACTTGGTCCTAGCTTCTTTCAAATGAGTTTAATGAGACTTTTAGCGCTTAAGAAGCTAATGATGGTTGCCCAGCGGCTCGTTGTTTCCACATTTTGTATTTGATAGCCAACAAGTACCTAGATTTGGTTGTCCACATGAAACTCGTCCAATTAGCATTGAGCTTTACTTCCCGCCTTGCCGCTGTACTTCCGCGAAGTTGTAATTGTAATTCTTTCGCATTCAACTCCCAAGCTTCTTGTATCCTACTTTTGTCCTACATTATACAATCCAATTTCTTTCATTCGCTTCTGTCTTTTTTATGCTTTTCTCTTTCACCTAAGTCGTCTATTAGGTCATTGTATTCAATTCCTTGTTATTTTTATTATACTACTTAAAAGTAAATGTGCATTACTGCATCACTGCGTAATCCCGCCGCTCCTTTGAACACGTCGCATACCCACCTGTCGCGCATATCACCAATGGCCATCAGCCTAACTTAAGTCTATCTCTGAGACCAATCCACCTTAGCTACGTTGCTTGATATTTCCTGCGGGCAGCCGAAGAAGCTGAGACTTTCCTTTTCGAAAACCTGCCGGCTCTCTGGAATCGCAGTGACCGGTCCAGGTGTTTCCCCTACTTCGTGTTACCAACAGGAACTTACGGGAAGGTGGCAAGGCGAACAAGGTCTTTGGCTGTAAAAACTCTGGGGGAAGAAGGAGATGAAAGTTTACAAACGAGAAACTCAATTACCAACTCCCTCCGTCATGGAGGACCGAATTTAACTTTTTCCGCATCTACGCCTATCCGTATCGACAGGTCATATTTGAGCTGGAAATGCCGGTTCGAAAAGTTGTACCGCCCACAGAATCCCGGATACTAACCCACAGCAATCAGACATGGCCGAGCAGCGAGTATTTACGCCTTCCGGCTCACGGGGCGCTGTTAGACGACACTTTCGCTCGAGCTCTCAGTCTCAGTCCCAGTCGCCAACCCACAATTCGCTTCGTCCCAGTGACGACTTGCTTTCTCAGCTTACACCCCTCGCGGCAGTCGACGCTCTTCAGTCTCCTACAGGAGCTTTAAAACAATGTATGGACAGAGCTTCAGCCTCCGAGCAAGCCTTTGCGATGAGAACGGCGACTGCCTCCCAGAAGATACGCGAGTGGTACGATGAGCTCTCCAGCTGGCCTTGGCCTAAGGACAGCTCTTCCGCCGGTTTTAAGATGCCATCTGGTAAGAAAAAGGACCCGTCCGACCCGAAGACGCCAGGAAATGATTCCAACGATGAGTTGGAGGAATCTGGCTTGCTTTTTGACGGAGGTTACCTTGGTAGTCTACCTGCCGCCGATGTAGATCGATACGAGAAACGGGTCGAAAAGATACGACGAGATTTAGACGAGTTAGATCTGGAGGAGATTAAGAATCAAGTTCTACATAATCATATCATGCCGCTTTCACGACCTGGCACTCCTCTGTTCGAAGGCGACCGTTCTCTCACGTCCACTCTTATGTTCTCGAAGATGGAAGATTTGACTGCGGTTGTTACCGCAATCACCATACAGGCCCTGCCTTGCCTATCCAGACTGTCAAGACTGTTGAACATGTGGGCGGTGCGGTTTGTCGTCCTGCGGAAAGTACCGTCTTTGCATTTTATGATGGCGGATGCCAAGATGGCTTTGCGTTCTGGCTGGAGTGCCATCGAGTCGGCTGAGTCGGGTGCTGCAAGCTCGACCGGACACGATAACTCAAAAAAGAAGCCCCGGCGACTTACTAGAAATGAGTTTGAAATCATAAAGGGCGTCATACAGAAGAAGATAATGAAACCAGGCCAAGTCCTAGACTCTATGCTTGATTCTCTAGAAGGATCAACGGATACCTTACCGGATGAGTGGTTGGACCGCATGGAAGCAATTGAGAAAGATTATGCTTCATGGGAAGCAACTGCTGAACGAAAAGTTCGGGAGAACGAGACACCTGGCTCATTTAAGGGATCTCCAGCGCACGGGTCTCGTATGGGGCCCGAAACTCCCCGACCGAAGATCAAGGTCCATGGCCCAAGTCCGACTAGGCTAGAGGAATCCGATGTCAGCCAGTTTGCCTCGCCTCCGATGCCATTCGATCCCTCTCCGGCAATTAGGCCTGGACGAAGGCCGAGCTTACCCAACCCCGAGCCGTCGAGAAGAAGATCTACGATTTCTTCCCGAAAAGACGGTGGGGTCAGACTTTTGACCGAGGAACGAAGCAAAATCATCCGGAGATCGGCTTCGCAAACCTTTGATCCAACAAGACATGTAACATCTCGGCGTGATATCGGCTCGGGAAGTATGCTCAGGGGGCAGAGCTTCAGTTACGACGGTTCTCACGACAGACGACCTCCAAAATTCGCAACGGCCAAGTCGACCGGTGCGCTGCCCAATGCTGCACGTCTTCCTCAGGGTAGACAACCTCAAGGTCAAGCACAAGATAAATTTAAAAATAAGCAGGGGGCAGGGGGCAATCAAATTAATCCTGTGCTAGGTGAAGTTAATCGCAACATCATTCGCAACCATTCCCAGGAACCCAACAAACCCAATGCAACTAATGAGGGTGGAGCAACTTTACTTGAGGATGATTTTGAACTCTTGGAACCTTCGGTCCTAGAAGCAGTGAATGAGGAACGAGAAGAGCCCGATTTACCCCCAGCCCGGTTCGAAGAACGGAAAGGCAGCATGGGGTCTGTCGCTTCTACTGTCATCCATGGTTCACCTAATGGTGGCGTCTTTCTAGGTCACTCTGATAATGGATCCTTCAGAGAGGGATCTATGGAGCCAGATCTACCACGTTTACCGGACCCTGATGAACCATTTTCGAGTGATGGTATGAGTCCACCTAGCTCGCCACCCTTGCGGTACAAGACTCGATCTACCTCTGTTACTTTTAAGGATGTTCCTGAGGTCGCTCACTTGCCACAAGTTAGTAGCACTCCACCCCGGAGTCCCATCGAGTCATCTGGAATCATAGATGGCGATGGCTCGTTTGAATACGAGAGCCAGTCCGGTAGTCCAGGCCGTATGAGCACATTCAGCTCTCTCAGCGAGGACGAACACCTTCAGCAACAGATTAGCGATCTCCTCCAGTCTATCCCGGCTAAGATCCGTCTTAAGAGGACACCCGGCGTTAATCTGAATCCGCCTGACTTTCAGTATCCATCACGGCCTAAACCCAGATCTTCGGACGGTACACGCCGAAGCAACTCTGGACTATCCTCACGTGGTGAAACTCCATCCTTCTCTCGTAGTGGAACTCCTTCGTTCATGTTGACTCCAGCGAGAGAACCTCGCCCAAGATCAAAGAGCAGCCAGGGAATTAGAGTCTACCACTTGTCACGATCCACTGGCGAGCCCCCACTCAAGCTACTGGTCCGCAGTGTCGGGGAGAACGGAGAGAGGGTTATGGTTCGAATCGGTGGCGGCTGGGCCGACCTGGGTGAATATCTTCGGGAGTACGCGTTACATCATGGCTCACGATCTAGGGGCGAAGGAAAGGTAGATATCAAGGATCTACCAACTGCGCCCCCTACCACAGGGTCAAGTCCAGCAAGCCGACCTAGTTCTTCTATGGGTTCTCCGGTTTCACCCCTTGCAATCCGCAAGACTAGAAGGAGCGTGGGTTCCGAAGGGGCCCCATTAAAATTCCCAAATACACCATTCGCTAGTCTTCCAAATGATGCGGAAACTCCGGCTTCAGAAATATCAAATAGGTCGCGCTCCTCGTCGCATATGGAATGGGATGAGGAGGATAGCGCTCTAGGTCTGGCGGGTCCGAAAGGGAGACGCGTAGATATGAGTGATGAAAGCCGAGCTTGGGTCGAGAGTGTGAAGGAGAAGGTCCGCATCGCTAGTAACGATCGCATACCGCCTCCAGAGCAACGAATAGACACGAAGTTCGGTGAAATAAACAAAGTCGGGGGTACTAAACGGTTGTTCAGGAAGCACTAGGGATATCTCTACGACCCGTAACGTACTTTGATCTCAAAAGGAGTTGCGTTAGGGGAGTAAATCAGGGAGTTGGAATTGCTCTGGGGAAGGGGAAAAGGAGAGGAGTAGGAATATTCCGTAAGAATAAACCCGGGAATGAGGATTCGGTTCGGTTAGCATTCCAGGCCGGTGTTCAGCGGTTCTTGTGAGCAGGCGGCCCTGCGGTTCGGGCCGCCACTACTGTGCACATTCATACACATATAAGTTTCTTTTTGTTATCAAGCATTTATCCATTGCTGAACCAATACCCCCTCTTTTCTCGACAATCATTTTGGCACTCGTAGGAGTGTTAGGGCATTCGTCCGTTTACAGACAGCACTTTAAATGCGTAAAAGCAACCAAATACTATATTCATATATTGAACATTTTGACTATCTACGTGAGTTTATGTATATCGTACCTTTCCCATAGAACAAGTAGAATTGTAGCCCATGTCTCATTATCTTGGGGTTGGAGCGAAACCCTAGTATGAGGCTCAACTACTGACTGGCGTAAGTTTTATCGCCATTTGAGGATTAGACGACCGGTTAGTTAAGCCTAGAATTACTAATTAAAACAGCTTTTCATCTCTATTACACATGATAAATATTCAGCATTAATAATGCGTTTCTAAGGTTACCTACCTACCCCCCAACGCACCCCCTAACAACATCCCACCTATGCCGCTATTATATTTGCCTACCTACCTGTCGTGCCCGCGTCGAGAAATCTCGAAGCTAGGAATGACCTTCTTCGACCGGGCGTACGACGCGGTACGGGGCTAGGGGAAATACTTTGCGAGTACCGCTCCCCTGTGACATTGCGGCGGCGGCCCTACGCTTCCTGGCTACGTGCATATGCTTCTCGAGTTGCTCTCGCACGAGGGATCTGGGCCACCTTCTTCTTTTTTTTTTTTTTTTTTTTTTGCTAGGTTAAGCGATTTAGGTACGGTTGGGCGGTTTTGGACTAAGACATTCTAGACCGGCTCGGACTTGGCGTGGGCCTGGGACCGGGGAAATGGGCTGCGTGGTCTTCGTAAAGCTTGATGGGTTCCGGTTACTGGTTACTGCGGAAGTTCTGGGGTGATGGACTGGGATGTCTGGGGAAGTCTACTGATGTGTTTATGGGTACGCTGTCTAACTAGGTTGTCTTCAATATGGCATGGAATATGGCATGGCTTGTTGAAGGCAACATTCGACTGACTGGCTACAAGACTTCGGACGGTTCTGTCTTGCTCTACTCAGGAAAGGGATCCCTCGACGAGACAAGTAACATGCGTTCATCTAGTGTAATGTGATGATAATAATCTTGTTATTTGCCTTGTGCCCAAGTTCCACGTCTCGCGCCCCCTAGAACCTGACTTCGTTCGTCCGTATGACAGCCCCGAACGTCGATGCAACAACAGCCAACGCCCTATATCTTGTACCGCGCGAAGCGGCCGTATACATCGTAAGGCATATGTCTACCTAAGGTAGGTAGGTATGCATCGAGACTCGTCTGTAGCGGACCGTGCCGTGGCAAAAAACGGCAAAGCCCATGGCCGTCCTACAGCAAGTTGCCACGCGATTGCGGTATTGTGGGGAGATTGCGGTTCCTTGACATCCTACCGCCGCCCATGGGTCAGCTTTTCGGGTTGATAACGATCTCGCCTCCACTTCGGTCTCGCTTCTCGGCCCGGGGATAGGCTGGCTGGCTGGCTGCCCGTGGGGATCGAAGTGCTGGGGCCGGACGGTTGCAGGTTTCCGTTATCGGGTCGGGCTTGCGCATTCGATGGCTTGGTAATAAAAGTATGGGGTTTGTATATCTACGGTAAATCTTTTATATAAAATCTCGTTTGTTGTCATCGCGATCACGGGAGACGTCGTATTCCTTACGACATCTACTGGTGATTTGCCCAAGTTCATATCAATCGACTGCGCTAGTGCTAGCTACTGTCTACATGTAGGCTGGGATGGTTGGTTTGTCTTTTCTAGCATGGCAAAACCTTCTATTCTCGGAAGTAGGTGTTGGTATAGATTGCTTGATAGTTTCTATCTATCCATCGGCCGTAGCGACGTGGTTCCTGTTATAGAAGGCGGCGAATTTACACGACGTTTTAGCCCCTATCAGGCTTGCTACATGACTACGACGGGGCGATTTCTATGCAATAAGGGTCCAGTCTTTTCCTATAGTGACGACCCCGTAAAGGTATAATCCAGCCCTACAAGTTCTAGATGGTCTAGCTATTATCCATCCATAGTCATTAGTAATATGATAAGAAGTAGGTATCATGATGATCGTGATGAACCGGGTTCTTTTGTTAAATCCGACATTCGTATTATATATCATAAAGGAGAGCACAGCAGTATCAGTGCTGAGCTGTCCCATCTGTGCCAAGGGGCACTACGGAATAACACCCGCATCCAATGGTTATATTTCCCGATGTTATTGACAGGTTAGGAGTTAGGCTCATATTCTCAGCCGTTGTGTCCATGTCGACTACGAGCTCGACTACGAACGAGAAGGTGTTTGCTATTACGAGACTTCATGTGTTTAGCACGTCTGCGTGCCTGCTTCTCGGCAATATCAGCAACTTCACCGAAAGTAGTGCAACGTTAGACGATGTAACGGCCATATTCTTTTTTATTTTTTATTTTTTTTATCAATCAGCGCTTTAGTATTAACTTCGCCGTGTCTACGTAACTAACAGGCAATATTGTATACTTGCGCTGCGTTCTATCATCTTATATCATATGTACTCTATAATCAGACTAATTTCATATATATTCTTGCTTGACAGGTAAACGGAAATGGGTATAATAGGTAGGTATATAAAAATTATATACCTAGATAAACGAGGCTATCTCGCATTATTCTATACCTATGGTTATTGAAATTCTTTGATGGGCTTACAACATGTATTAGCAAACTGTATTGATACGTTTGAGCTATTTCTTCGAGTGGGACTAACAGCAAACCAGGCCTCGCCCGATGGTTTCTCTACGATATTCGTGCGAGTTCATCTCAAGTTTTCAATCGGGTAACAGGAAGAATTTGGATCGGATGTTCTCTAGACACGAAACGTGGACTTGAGGTGTCATGATGCCTATTTGAACCAGTATGTGTTGGATCTTCATATTTATCACCAAAGGAGTCATAACAGTTCAACTTCAGGGTCCGACAATCCTCATCGTTGTTCATCCGAGATTGGTCGCCTTTTATGATTGTCTTAGTTGATGCGATATTGAGCTAATCGGGATTGTATGACGAGATCTACAGCCTCACATACGATTGAGAGGGTGGCGCCATTCTGCAGAAGGTAGTCTGCGGCCGGAACTTTGATCTGCGTGGATATATTACCTTTTCGCAAGGGCTGGGGAAATAACTGGAAAATAACAAAAGTGTGGCAACCATGATCTTCATTGAGCGAATCAATATTTTATTTGTTGGCCCTATGGTGACCCTGTGGTGATTCTAAGGGGTCCCAGCACAACGGAATCTCGATATTGTCGATATTAAGATGCATGGCGTCGGGTGTGTATCTCGGCGAATAGAGTGTTTTTCGTGATATTTCAATACTACCTTGGCGATCATGAGAACTACATCCGAGGCATCATAGTTCATGGCTGTGGGTACACAAGAATGTAGTGAAACATTGGGTAGAGACACAGGTCAAGAGGACCCTTCTTAACTCTTCTACAACAAAAAAGCCGTCGCACAGGTAAGACATCGGAGTTTTGAGCTGCATGGTAACTCACAGGGTCCAGCTGCTACCAGGTAGCTCTCCATAGGAGCTAGCTTTTAGGATGAAGAGACCATCTACACGTTGATAACTTCCAAGTCAACGAACCCCTTTACTTACAGCATGCGAGACGACAACTGTTGAGGATAGTTAGGCAGGTCATATTCCGTCCTATATGCATTCAAACTTGATCGATTGCATAGCCTAGCTGCAAGTCGCTTAACTCCGTAATAAAGCCTGCTTGACTTGTTTTTGGCTTCGCTAATATTACTTTTACGTACACGGAGGGCGCATTCTGTAATACAACAAACGTATAAGGTCATGATATCTCTCTCTTGTGCGACTAATGCTCTATGTACCTATGTAAGTTGATATTCGATTGAAGTCGTAATCTAAACTCACCAGCCACCATAGCTCTACTCCTTCAGCTTTGCTGACCACCCTTCTTCTCAGCAGAGTTGTGATACCCCTTGCCGAAGGCGGCGTGCAGCACAGCATCGCGTACCAAGACGTCAAGATAACATGATGATTTGATGGCGCAAACCATGGCTGAAACTGTCAATGCTGCTCAACCTACGCCTTGTTTAGATATTGGTGAGGCGACGCGTTGGCAGGCGAATATGTCAACGTCGATTCTCTCTACAAGTTCGTGTGTGTACCTACATAGTCCAACGCCCGAAATAATAGTTAGCGAATGCGTATACACCTTGATCTCTGTGTACGGCGTGTACTCGGGCGAGAAGGGTCTTATTTATTAGGGGTACGGGCATATATTTTTAATGTTATGCAGAATATGCGGAATATGCAGTGCGACGATGCATAGAAAACGGAAGTGGTTCAAGGGCAAAGCCCATAACAATGGATCATAGATCTCGCTCGATAAACCTGCGGAGTAGGTGTTCCCAAGACCAGCCAAGTGCTGCCAGTCAGAGTCAGTCAACTAAATTTGAACTGCCTGGATAGGATTAGTGAGGGGCAAAGGATTGTCGGTTCATCGTGACTAGCCCAGATATGGATGTGTTATGGATGCGTTTTATGGATGTAACTCTTAGAAACCAGAAATCATAGAGACCTTAGAGACCCCTGTTTTTCCACCCCGCTTCTTATTCCATCATTTGCATACGAGCTGCAGTAGCAAGGTCCATTGGGAACCATCAGGAACGCGGCGAACTTACACTTTTACCACTTACATCTACACCTACATTATACTAGTATAATAAATCTACGGCACTTGGATAAGCTAATAAGCCTCTATCTCATTTTCGTCATTAGCTGAGTGACTTAGTGCCACAACAACCCGCAGCAGCTCACAGCAGCTTAAACCCTGAAAGGTTGACGAAGAAGAGCGTGGAGACGGCAATGTCCGAAGCCACTGACCTTTGAGGCGCTTTTGGAGGTCCATCCTTTTTAAGACGCACTGCCTCGCTGCTTGTCATTTGACGTCTTTTAAGTCTTTCTAAGCGCTACTTTGAAGCGTTAAGAGTTGTCTTTTCATCGACATCTTCACCCGTCAAATTACTTACGACAAGTTCACGGCTGGGGCTTGCGCTTGAAATTACTCAACTCTTAAACGCCAGCGAATCACGACTTCTCGTACATTGCCGCTTATCCGTCTGCTGTTCCGAAGTTCCAGAGGTTTCAAGGAGCTAAGCTACAGTTGGCGGAATCTACTTGGAAGCTGGTCAGCAAGGCTGAGAAGCAGGGCGTTCGATTTACATATCAACTGCTATCAACTGCATTCTTTCTCCCCCTCATCAACACACCCTGGTTGCCATGTTCCAAAAATAATCAATAATCTCCCAATAAAGTTGGTTGAATATCTCCAATATGGTTGATGTCGACATCGACGCGTTCCTACGACAAGGCTATTGGCCTAACTCTAGAGCTAAAAGCCCAGATTCAAGATTGTAAGTTTCTATACCCCGAATCAAAATGACGTGGGATGAATCCCCAGGTATGAACCAAAGTTGGACGATTTACTGATACGTCATATGTAACGCAGCGCCACCTCGAGTACACCATCAAGTCAGTCCTCTTATGTAAATGTGACGGCTCCGAGTAAATTACCATTTCACACTCGTCGCCAGCGCGATTATCCTCCTCCGCCATGTGTTGAGGATGAGACGGCATCGCTCGCAAAGGAATATAGAGCCACGGTTCCAGTTTCAGGCGAGGGACCGATACACCGGGGGGATATTGACCAGCTGCCTATTCTGCTCCCCGTGCATGAATATAATCCGGAGAGACGCTTTGTAATAGTTTCGACTTCGCCCGATTCTACAGTTGATTCCTCTGGAAATGCTAAGCAGCTACCGAGGCGACCCAAATCTAGGGATTCAAACCCCGAACCCGAACCCGAACCTACCTCTTATGAGGCGAACACCGGTCGCAAATATGAAGCGCGCACGCGTCAAGAAGAATCACCTGAGACTAAATCAGACACGCGACCAAACCGTGAAAGACGTCGTAGCAAACTTGAACAATTACCTACTATAACTACGGACATTGAGCCTGATTCTCGGAAATCCGATACAAAGAGATCTAAATCTACGACGAGATCTGATAAAGGTGACGAGAATTACTTCTCGCCCCGCCATCATTCTCGGCTTCAAAGCGCAAGTACGCTGCCTCCAGATGTCATAGAATATGCTAGCAGAGGAAGAGATCGAGCATACTACCAAGGGGGCTCAGATTCTTACTCTCAAAATCGCAATCGCTCATCTCACCCTAATGTTGAGTACGAGAAGAGCCCTCGAGATGATAGGAAATATAGAGATAAGCCTCTTAAATCGGCCAAGTCGATAAGCCCTACTCATCACAAACGACGTTCGACTGCGGATATCCCCCAACACGTGCGAACATCCTCCAAGGTTGGCTATGAGAATCCTCCGCCATATGCCGAGCTTCGGTCGCCGAGAACTGAGACGAGAGCTGAACAGAGAGCTGATGATACTAGCCGTAAACAATATGAACGAGATACAGCGTCTCAAGTCTCATCTAATTCTGAAGAGAAACCAGAAGTCCCGCCTCATAGTAAATACATCTACTCAAGTGATGAAGACGCATCATATCGAGCTCGTCCCCGCCGTCATCGAGAATCAGTCGTATCTACTGACGGAAGATCATACCTCAAAAGCTCAGCAGAACTAAGACCCAGTAGCGATCGAAGATCCCGGGGCGCCTCCCCGCTTCCATCTTCAAGAACCTCCCAAGTCTACGAGAGGGAGTCGACTTCATCTAATCCGCGCAGCTCTACGTTCCCAAAAGATATTAAATTTTCACGAAGCGAGCATCGTTCTCAACATTCATTATCCCGTTCCTCTACGGGAAGATCCGAGCTTAAATCTTCCGCTCCGATCGTAATTCCTGTCGCTGCCGCTGCTGTAGCTGCTACCTCGGCGGCTATACATTCTAGTTCTCCCACTGATCCTCGTCGATCAGGTATACTTCCACCACCTAGAGTAGGATCTATCCAGCAAGATCCTCGCTCGTCAACATCGGCATTGTCGACGAGCCCTCAGAGACACGTACGCCAGCCGGTAGAATCCGCTTCGCCAAGGAGTCTTGTTAGCAAAAACCATTTTATGCCCCCGTATAAAAGATATCTCGACGAGGTGCAAGCTGGCGAGCTCCCTAATATGCGTGACTGCCCTCGTAGGCAAGCAACTACGGGATATATGGATTGGCTAACGCTTCCTCGTTGCGACAACTTCGACATATGTCCGTCATGTTACGAAGTCACATTTTCTCAAACCGAATTTGCGCACCACTTTGTTCCGGCGCCGTTCCGCTCGACAGACCGATATATCGTCTGCGACTTCGGGACTTCCCGATACTACCACATCGCGTATTTCCTAACAAGAAAATACGGAATGGCGGATCTAGCCATGTTTCGAAATATCGCCAACGTCACCGCTAAGAGCCAGCCGTGTTCGGGAGCGAGAGAAACTTCCCGAATCTGGTATTCAGTCAAAGATCCCCGCTCGGGACACCCTGTCGAAAGCTTTACCGTCTGCTACACTTGTGCGAAGACGGTCGAGGCTTTACTTCCGAATCTGACAGGCCTTTTCGTGCCTATGGACTCCCCGGCCGAAGCTACAAGGGGTGTCTGCGCGATGCACCAAGATAATGAACGAAGATTTTTATTCTATTTCGACCTTTTAGAGGCGGCGGCCGATAAGGCCTTAATAACTAAGAGCACGCCGGACGTCCAGGCCCTAGCCGATAGACTTCGCGACTTGACGGCCGTTCCCGAATGCGCTCGCGATACTCCGGTCCACAACGGTAAGTGGTACACGATGCGGTCAATTCCCGATCTTACGGTCTGTGAGGAGTGCTTCGGGGAAGTAGTCTGGCCTATGATTCAACGCGACAGCAGCTCCATTGCGGCCAACTTCCACAAGAACCCCCAGCTACTCCCGCTGGCCTCTTGCCAGCTATACTCGGACCGCATGCGCCAAATATTCCAGTGGGCCGTGCGGCATAACGATATGAGGTATCTGGAAGCGAAGGTCAGGGAACGCAGGCTTAAAGATCAGGAGTATCACGCCAGGATTGTGGGACTTGACCCGCACCGCTTCGGTACGGAATGGGTTGAGGCCGAGCTCGACCAGGCGGTTAGGGAGTGGCAGAGGTGGGAGTAAGGAAGGTCATTATAATGAATAGATAGGTGCGGTCATATAGATAGAGGGGGGTAGGCTAAGCTAGGATGGCATGGTATGGCATGGCATGGCAAGGCGGGGAGGGCATGAGACCACGCCGTTTATGTGTGACGAAGATGAATGAAACTATATTTATAGTGACGAGTAATGAGACATGGTTATGGCGAATTCTTTGGTATGAACTTTTGATTTTAATAAGTAAAGTATGAATAATTTTCAATTGCCCATAACGATAACAAGAATCCCTCCTCAACTTCTCCCTTCATCATCCCATCATTTGCTTCCACGATAGAACCTAACGGTTTCCACTCAACTGCTGCGGCCAATCAGCCGGACACGTCCCCGTGCAGGGGATGCCGCTCTCAGCCTGGCCCTGGATATTACTACACAAGTACTTGGGCGTACTCTTCCCATCCAGCGGGGTGATCTCGACGTTCTCAAAACTAAACCCCGAGCAAGGGCTAGACGCGGAGCAGTGGATCGCCGAAGCAATATTATACCGACTAGTCCCCGTCACGTTGATCCAGCGCACATCCTGGATCGGCAGGCGGCTCTGGTCGCAGCCGCGCGCCGTGTAGATGCACGAGGTGACGTAGATGGGCTGGTTGACGTTCTCGGCGCGGATGTTGGAGAAGGTGACGTTGCGCACGAGCCCGTTGCCGCTGTAGGTCTTGACCCAGGCTGCGTTGGAGCTGTGCGTGCAGGTGATGTTGTCGAAGGTTACGTCTTGCACGAAGTCTGGCGCGTTGCCTGGGTTGTTGCCCAGAGAGCCGATGGTTGCGCAGCCGGACTCGTAGCAGTGCACGTCGGAGACTTGGATGTTGGTGCTGTTGCCTTTGATGGCTATGCAGTCCTATAGGTAAGTTAGTTGAGTATCTGGTGTTTAAGCGAATAGGAGTAGGAGGGTGGTAGAGATATCGGGAGAGTTGAAGGGTAAAGGGGCTTACATCGCCGCAGGTCACTTTCCAGTTCTTGATGAAGACGTCCTTTGAGTTCCAAGTGTCGGTACCGTCAGTGTTCACGGTACTCCATTGGCTGTTACTGGTCGAGTTCATGTCTAGGTTCGTCATGGTGATATTCTCGCTGTACGCAACGAAGGTGTCTTATGTTCTATTAGCCCTCTTTCGTCTTTTATTCAAATTGCAACTTCAAGATACTGTTAGTAAATATGAAGGGAGAGTGAAATTAGCTTACGCCAGAATTGGCTCTGCCTCCAGGTGATTCCGTCGATAAGGACATTCTTAGCATGCCAGAGCGTTAAGCTGATCGGTCGTCCGGCCTGGTTACTTCCTCCACGGTTCTGGTCATACCAGAGCTGACCCTGACCGTCAAATAGCGCCTTGCCGAAGCCACGGATGCTGATGTCTTGGCCACCAATGCGCCAGGCCGTAGACCGCTGCGCGTACTCGACGCCGATACTGTTTCGCAGCCAATACTGGATATCCGAGGACCATCGTAGCGTACCATGGATCTCAATGTCCACATTGCTCAGGTCTTTAAGATCCATCACCTTCCCGATGTGGAATGAACCTTCCGTCAAGATGACCTTGCCGTTCTGTCCGCATTGCTTGAAAGCATCGAGGATCTGCTGTGTGTCGTCCGGTTCCTTACTACCCTCAACCGGTAAAGGTGTTACCGTGCATGTCGAGCCTGTGACGTTGAGAGCCGCAGAGGCTCCGCTAGCAAGTGCCAACAAAGCAGGTATAAAATATGTGAGCATCATCCTTCTTCTCTTATATGCTTTAACTTAGTTGTGGAATAAAAGATTTCCCCGGGCTTAGAAAGGAATCGCGCAATCGCTGCTCTTTTTCTAGCTTCAGGAATCTGAGTCCTAAGATGTGATGGCAGGAAAGAGAAAAAAAAGCGACTGCATTCCTATGGGATAGCGGAGCGTCCCATCTAGGTAAAAGCTTCGCCGAACCGTAGATATTTTAAACTACGGCCCCCCTTGGTGTCAAACTCTTCCAGAGTCGTAGAACCAGGTAATCCATATTACCGTCTTGGCTCTCGCGAAGTCCAGGCTACCTCGGTCGATGTTGGTTGGGCGATGGAATAGGGAGGGGGAATGGGTTGCTGTAACGCAAACGAGAAGACATATATTATCTTGATTCTATATTAAGGGAAAACGTGGCATCGTGTACCCCAGAAAGGATGCGCTCAAATCAGAATGCGCGGACAAAAAAAACGTAGACATGGATATTGGCGAACTCGGCTAATGTAGAGTGGGCGTGGAAGAAAGGGGCGAGGTTGATTAAGCGGATATTAAAAACCTGGGGTCTAGACTACAAGTACTTAACCTAGCAGTAATAACGGGGAAAGCTTCATAGTCAGGTAGATGATATGATTGATGGAGAAATTTTATGAGGTCAGGAGCTTAACAACTTATCTATCGCCAGTCCATATTTGCGGTGGTCCTCCCATTCGCGGCATCCTGCTCACAGGCTACGAGTATCTTGCTATTAGATACTAGATTATCTAGAAAGCACATGTTTAATAAAATAGTGAACCTAGACGCATAAACCCGTAAGATACAGCGGAACCATCCATTTTCCTACGAGAATAACAACAACTATGAGTTTCGATACGACGAATTTATGAAAGACGATTTGTAGAAATTCAACAACTATTTCCAGGCAACTTCTATAGGAAAAGATAGAGTGTTTAAAATAAACAGAATTTGAACATGGTCGATTTTAGTTAAGCCAGCTACGTAAAATTAATAGGACAACTTTTCTAAAAAGCCATAGGTTAATACAATACTGTATCTTCGATGGTCTAGATACTTAGGTGATATGTCACGATAAAGCGTCACCTAGCCAAGAATACCTATACAACTCATAGGATATCAACTATGGTACAAACATTCATCTTATAAAAGCTCAATTCGTCATGTGCATCACTACTACGATTCGTCGGGAATTATAAGTGTTACTATAGAAGTATATGGTGACGACGCTTCAAAATACGCACGGGTGATAAAGTCAAGCACACGCAATATTACCGCTAATGTAATAGACTTCCAGGCCGGAAATGCCACTTGCCCATGTTCGACTTTGGAATTAGTATAGAAGTTGCATTGGAGATTTGTTGGTATGAATAAACGAGAACTTTAAGCACCTGTGAATATAATACTTAGAGCCAGCGCTAATTAAGTAGAATAATGTTAGAGGAAAGAGGGAATGAAACATATATAAACGGAAGGTCTCATGTGTGAAATAATGATCTAGCTCTGTCCCGAAGAGGTTTCTCTAGACGTCGAAGTCAGTATCATTATCAACAACAACAAGCACATTCTTCTGCTAACAGGTACGCATCTTTATCAAGTAAAAATAGCAGCATCGCTTCTTAGACACGTTTGAAATGGATCAATATTTACATATTTTATCAGCTTATACCTTTCATACACACGCTGTACTTGTTGATTATGGGCAAACCCTTCAAGGCCGGGGTTTCCCACGAACTCAGGTTTATGTCGGGCAAAGGACAACAGGGACGGGAGTAACAAACTCCATAAACCTGCGTCAAGTCACCTACCAGCAGAACCCGAGGGATCACAATCCCTATCATACAACCTACGGATCAGGTCCTGTCCCACACCAGCAACTTCAACATCCTCGGCCTCTACGACATGTACGGAGCTCGCTTATACATCCATATTCTTATCCTATTAATACTATGGTAGGCATACAAGTCAACTACAACGACAGCCAGTCATCCCATATCAGACAACCACCCGATAGACCCCTTCAATCTGACCAGCCTACAAGTCTACGGAGTCTACATAACCCACCTACACAATCTAGTCTACCTACACAACCTACACAACCCAGTCTACCTATACGACAGAGACGGCACGATCTAGATAGGCAACATAGGCGATCCAGTCTACCTGGACAGCCCGGACAACCCAATCAGCCCAACCAGCTCGGACAATCCAGGAAACGTAGTAGGCCTAGGAAATCTCATCTGGTACAGAACCAAACACAGTCGTCATCGCCCGAGTTGGCGCCTCCGAAGGTTGAAGCATCACCTTCTGAGATCCACGCAGCGCCACTACTGAAGACCGAGTCGACATCTCCAGAGGTCAGAAAAGTGTCACCAGAGCCTCAACAAGCATTGCCAACGACCCAAACGGTACCACCAGAAGCTGAGCTAGCATCACCAGCCGCTCAAGCGATACCGCCGGAGATCCATACAGCACCGCTAGAACTTCAACAGGCAGCATCGGAGACCCAGCCGTTGCCATCAGACGCTCATTATGAACAATCAGAGTCTGAGACACCCCCCGAGATCCAAGGAGATATAACCGACCTCGATCCCGTAAGATGGGATGAATGGATCGAATTTTAAGCGGAGTGCTACGCTGTTAAAAGATATTTTCGTGATGGTTTTCACTCTATTGCATGGTATATGTCGTCTTGATGGACTGCTCAACCGATTAAGACTTCCAAGCATAGGGGACTCTTATTTAGGAGCGCAGGGAGGTCTGAAAGGGGCTGGCGGGATACACTTGACGTCGAGTTACAGTAATGATTCAGATGTTCAGCGTTAGGAATAGACAGGCACAGGGAGAAGGGATGGCAAGTGCCAAGGCATTTACGGATATCTCATAGCGATGGACTTTATAGACGGTTTGTTTAGGATTAGGTAACTAGGAGATATCCGAATGGAAGCGCTTCTCCTGAGAAAATTATTCCTACAAGGCCATTATGATGGTGCTCAATTTAAGTTAGTAGATGAAGTAATAATAAGATTCTTAATCGGCATCACTGGAATGATGGGAGTCACTAGTATTAGGTTCGGCCCTCAATGGAGCATAAACTACTTCGAGTTTGTCGGATGAGTTCCATAATTTCAAACTCTTAGAGAAATCGTCTGGTCTATCGGAGCACACATGCTGGTATTATAAAGAAACAACGAATATGTGAATGAAAGTGTTATTTGATCTATATAGCCCACCTATCTATTCGACCCTTATATCGTTGATTCTAGATCGCGGTGTTGTTTATTCCCTTTTTAACATGTTCCATGTTCTTTCTATCCACGGATTCGGAAGATCCCTCAACATGATGCCCGTGTAAGTAGCTAAGATCCCCCCAAGGATATATCCGAAAGTGCCTTCGTCGGAAGCGAAGCGTAATAATCATTATGTGCCAGACCCAAAGATGGGGAAAATAATACCAATAACGCCGACCATGAATCTCATCTTATGCATACCTCGTCATGCGAGCCACGTTCCTTACTTGAGGGGATCGTAGATCCTCTCCTTGATGTACTTCGTTAGAGCGACGTCACCCCATTCTTCCCATTCGACCCACTGTTCTTCGGGTAGAGTGCTAACACCTTCTCTGCGGGCAGCCTTCATCACCTCCCGGGCGACGACGACGCTGGCATCCCTGACACGCTCGATGTGGGGGTAGATCAAACCCTTGTGAACCTCTTCGGCATTTAGAGACTCAGATAACGAAGAAGCCGAGATATAGACCATCTCGTCGGTGATCTTTGACGCTTTGGCGAGGATAGCACCGAGACCTAGACCAGGGAACACGTAGACGTTGTTACCCTGGTTCGGCCAGTAGGTTACAGCGTGGTCACCGGACTTAACGGCAAACGGCGCAAATGGAGAACCAGATGCGAAGATAACGGTACCATCTGTCCACTGGACTGCTTGCTCAAATGTGCATTCAGCCTTGGTAAGAGGGTTGCTAAGAGGGAAAAGGATGGGTCGCCTTCCGGAGCCACCAGAGTCAACCGAAGCCTTGAGGGCACGAACGACTGACTCGGTAAAAACACCGAAAGTTGCCGTAAGACCAACGAGGGCAGACGGCCTCACATACTCGATTACTTCCTCGAGTGTGCGGAATTGGTGGCCGTTGTTATCCGACCGGGCAAAGTACTTCTTGTGGTCCGCCAACTTGTCACCTCGGTCTGCGGTAACCAGGCCCTTGGTGTCAACAAGGTAGAACTTCTCTTTCGCAGCTTGTTCTGAGAGACCGCGACGGGTGTAGTACTCAACCATCTGCTTTGCGACACCAACACCGGCTGAGCCAGCACCCATGAATACTAAGCGCTGCTCCTCAATGGGAACACCGGATAGGTTCACAGCGCCAATGTAACTAATATCATGTAAGTAATTAATGATAAGAGGTAAGATCAAGCTTCGAATCACTTACCCAGCTAATACGACGGCACCAGTTCCCTGGATGTCATCGTTGAAGCACTTGTACTTGTTACGGTAACGAGCCAAGTAGTTGAAAGCCTTCTCAGTCTCGAAGTCTTCGAACTGAACGAGCATGTTGGGGAAGACCTCGGCGGCAGCCTCCATGAATTCATCCATGAACTCCTGGGCAACAGCCGGCGAAGGACGTCTAGCCCGGAGACCCAGGTACAGGGGGTCCTTCAGGTTAGTTTCATTGTTGGTACCGGTGTCTAGTACGATTGGTAGAGTCTTTCCGGGGTGGATACCGGCGGCACCGGTGTACAAAGCCAGCTTGCCGATCTAAGTAGGAGTCAGCCTCAGATTTCACGGAGCACTAATGTAAGCCAAGATGGTAAGATGGTGGAACTTACGGAGATCCCCACACCATTCATACCGAGATCACCCAACCCCAAAATGCGGGATCCGTCCGTTACCACGCAGATTTCGGGGTCCGGATAAGGCCAGTTACGCAGGATTGTCCTGATTGACCGGCGCTGCTTGATCGATATGTACAACGCCTCCGGATGAGTGTAAAGCGTAGAGTATTGTAGACACACATCACCGATAGTGGGAGTGTAGACTAGCGGCATTAGGTCACGGACATTGTCGATAAGTACCCTGTAGAACAGATCCAAGTTTTGAGTCTTGAGATGCGACAGGTACAAGTACTTGTCGACGTTGGTCTGCCTAGAGTTGATCACCTTCATACACCTGGCGACTTGAGTCTCAACGTTTTCCATGGCGTGCGGCATTAGACCTGTGAGGTTCTTAGAGACACGCTCATCTGGGGTAAAAGAGAGTCCTGGATAGCTTGTGTGTTAGTAGGAAAGCAATCGCAAGGGAGTGTGGGCTTATTTAAAAACTCGGCGCAATACCTTTGTTCCACAGAGGCTCCCGTAATATTTGGTAACCACCAGCGGCGGACTGCGGGACGTAATCCGTGCTTCGGTACTGTTGAACCTCGCCGTAGTGGTTTTGTGCGTAACCTCGAAGACCGTCTAGAGCAGCCATTTTCATCTGTTCTTCAATTGCAGATATATCGACCGAGGACATTGGGTTAAGCGCAGACTGCCTCCGTTGCAGAGATAAGGACAGACGTTTACTAGAGACGGAAGTATGAGAGGAGCGCGCAGACGCGATAGAGAATGAGGAAGGAGAAGACGAGCGAGGCGTTGATATATCTGAACTGGCGGTGCTGTAAGTATTAAACGCCATTGGACGTCGCGGTGACGGGTGGCGTGCCAGTATTAAAAGACAACGGTTGGATGTTGAGCTGATGGGGTAAGACGGAAGAGTAGGGCTAATAGGGGACTGTCCGATCCAGCTGACGCTATCAGAACTAGAATTGGCTGAAGACAACGTGGACTGGCACGGAGCAATAGGCAAAGACGATGGTTCCCCTTTTCGGATATCACTACCAGTAGTGGTGCAAGAGAAAAGTCCGGAATGCAAGGAATACAAGGAACTAGGTTCGGGTGGGTGAACGTGGTGTGTCTGCTGATTACTGTCCCGAAGAGTATTCGTGTAATTTCTTGTGTTATTGCCGTGGTGTTTAATAAAAGTCCGCCCAACTACGAAGTCGTCGATGAGGCCATTTGCAGATGGGACCGGGCTTCTTAATAACATTAACGGCAAGTCGGCATTAGGATGAGTACTAGCATTAGTTCTAGCATAAGGAAGAGCATGAGGAATACCAAGGATCCTGGTTCCGTATGCCTTCGTTCTCAGACCTCCATTCGTTGCCGCCAAACGACCGCTAACACGGAGCCGTGTAAGCTGTGACAAGGGCGAACTGGGGTTTCGTTGGGGTTTCATAGGGGATCAAACACTAGGTCTAGATCGCTGTAGTATTTTTCGTTATTAGTTCAGGAGCCCAGGAGCCCAGGGGGAGCTAAGGGGGGCGGCTGATCGGCAAGTTACGGAACGAATAAGAAGAGAGGGAAAGGTAAAAAAGGGTATATTCGGTACGAGAGTACCAATGAAGCACGGCCGTACCGAGATTCGCGTAGTTTGGGTATCCTCCAATCGAAAAAAAATTTTTTAATACTTTATCATAAGTGGAAAGCAACGTAAAAAAAAGCGTTGTAAATCAATTAAAGCAACGTCCGAAACGGGCAACTGGTAAAGTTTTGGAGAAGTATGTAGGAGTCGATGTAGAACAACACTAATAGACCTAATGATAGAAGAAGAAGAAAAAAAAGATATTCTAAGTCAAGATTGACAGACACTCACCAAATTTCCGGTTTTTTTCTTATTTCTAAGAAAGATAAACGGAAAATTTTTGTTGGGATCCGATCAAGGGGAAATCAAGAGACTGCCGTACGAATGTACGCCGGTACCTACATATCTACCTACATACAGCATACATGGTGGTGTGTGTAAGAGCATCTAAAAGTATGTACGGATCCGTAGTACAGACAAGCATTGCACACCGTAGGGTTATCCCATAAGGTCATGACCTCCATAGAATACTCTCCATATTGGAATATGTTAGGCAGTTATTGTACGTACTAAAAAACTAAAAAAGAAGGATACGCCAAAGAAGGAAAGCTTAGCAGTTCGTAATTGGGCCCGGGGAACGATCCTTAGGACTACCTAGGACTAGCCCTGAAGGACTAACTGACTTCTAGTGGGACGTGGAACCCCCTTCATACCTAAACCTACTACATATGTATGTATGTACATAGTAAAGGTAAGTAAGTATGTAGCTAAGACGAAGGAAGGGTTGTTCACCGGCTGCCTTCACATGTCCAAGCCTGCCAAGTTACGACGTTGAGAGAGTATAAGCGCTACGTGTACGGTATGCGGACTTGGGCATTATTCATGCCTATTGCTTCATCCTTTCTGTGGCTGGTTATGGTACGATTACTCTGCAGGGCTTCATCCCCAAGAATTGCCACGAAACGCCTTCTCGTCAGCGACAGCAAGATTCACGAAATTTCTAATGTAAGAGGTATATGAGTGTGTGTGGTGTACGAGTGTACCTATGACATGTCGCAACACGGACTCCGAAAAAGTTTGGGGTGCATCGGATTCTCCCTGATCCTTGACGTTGCATGTCCGTCGATCCCGCAGTCCCGACTCTTGTGACTGGTCCGAGATACAACCAATTGAGCTCTATCTCCCCGTCCCTGCATAAGTCGGATTTGCGACTTGGGACCGTCCAATGTTTCTGATTTGATTTCGATAACGTACAGGTTAATCTAGCATTTCCAACCCGTCTTAGATGGTTCGTGCCCTTCCTCTTCTCGCCCTTCTCAAAAGTTGGGGATGATCATATTAAAAGAGGCTTCCCTTTGCAAGATCCTGTGATCCATCAACGGTTGGAGGCCTTAAGGACGAGGATTCGGGGATAAGAGGGTATATGGCATTTCCAAATGGAAATAACAGGAGATCATAACTTGAGATATTGTATGATTGACTAACTAAATCATGCCTCTCTCTGCTGTTACACGCGTAAGTAATGTTAGGTATATCAAGGTGCCCAAGCAAACTCCTTTACTTCACCATGGCCCCCGTTCATTTTAAAAAACTTTTTAGCTTCTGGAAGTCCAATCCAGGGCCAGCCCGAAATTGATCACGATATTGCAAGGTATGACCGCGCCGAAGGATGGGGCTGACAGGGCTGACGAATCTTGTACAAACCCTTGTAAGGGACCCGGATTCTTCCGATCTGAAAATGCCACGAGGCTTGGGTTTTACCGACTGGGTGCGTGGCAGGCGTGGCTAGTTTTACCCGTCTCTACCTCATAGAGAATTTTAGTTGCTGTAAGTCTATGTATTAACAGCCTCACCGAGCTCTAAGTCAAGACTACCTACCTATCAACTAGATTGATACATCAGATTCAACAAGAATTTCAAGATGACCGAAGCATACATGAGAGCTATATGTAGTATGTTCATCATATCATCAAATTCGTCGGAAGAAATAGGGAATACATTAGTCGTCATTACTTCAATTTCCTTCGGATTAGTACTTGAAATACGGCCATTATTTCTTTTGGGCTCTTCCCGTCCGTCTGATGAACCCGCCCAGCCTGTCAGTGTCAGTGCCCTACCGTCGTCCAATCTCTCTCCACTTCCAAGCCCAAACCCAAGCCGCCGAGCATGGAGAGCATGGAAAAAGTCTCCACTGAGCTCAAACACAGATTCACCGTCACCCTCACCGGGAACCCTACGGTTTTTCCATCTTTCATGCAGCTTAACCGTCCCCACTTGGTTATCAAATCGAGCTTCTCCAGACTGCGGGAGGATACAGACAAGCATTTTGTAGGTCTAGGCTAATTATTCGGAGTCGTAAAGCTCCATTTCGACGTGCGCATGACCGCGCTCGAGCCTAATGAGAAATCCACAATACCCGCCTACCTCGAGGCCTAGCTTCCCGGCAACGGTGAGCATTTTTCAATATCGTGACTAACAAAGTGGCCTTTGCCATGGCCGCGATCGTAGCGCTTGCTTCTAGAAAGTCGTCCGAATACATATATTCGGTCAACGACTAGCGGTACTACTACATACATGTAGCCGTGCCCGCACTGCAGCTCGTCTATCGCTCTGCTGTCTCAGGGTGCACCCTGATTTCTTGGCTTTTGAGCTTGTCTTGACTCTTTGCTTCTTAATTCATGGCCCTTTAATGGACAACAGGGCAAACTTCTTCATATCGTAACGTGCCAATGGCTTAGGCAATCAGGAGCTTGTTGCTCGAAGTTTCAGAAACTCTCAGTCTCATTGGCATGTGCCTTTTACTGATACAAAGGCACATTATCACATTTATGTGCCGAAATCTCGTCAGCTATGCTGTTATAATTGTTGCCGGATAGAGATCAGCATTCACTGATTCCCCATCACTGTCTCGGTGTTAGGCAGAATAGTCATGATGCGGCTAAATATTTCGCGGAGCTCAAAACACATATTACGTTAAGATAGACCGAAAATTTTAGGTCCAATTTCCGCTAAAATGTGACGATGCCGTCATTTTCTAAAAAGATATATATGTTCTACCAGTAATCATGGCCTTATTGGTAACTCCAATATATAGGAATAGCACTAGAGCCACGCCGGTCTCTGTTTCACAGAAAGGATCGTCACCGAAAACTTTTAAGTCTCGGGATGTTACGGCGAAAAAAAACTCTGCTCCTCAGTGGTATTCCTTATTTCAGATGAACTTCTATCTTAGTAAGTATTCGACTCGGCTAAGCTTCCAAGACGAATTTAGCAACGCTATGTTGTATTCTGACATGAAACCTCCAAGCATGAGACACGATTAAATTTTTACAGCTCAACGGCGTTTCTTTGACTTGCGATATTGTCCTCGGTTGCTTGCCTAACCTAATATAGCTCATAGCTTGTGGTTTTCACCGTATTACTCGAGTCTATGTGAGAAGACCGGTCCTTACTACACCTAGGCATTCCTAATAGTGGCGTCTCATAAAGAACTGAACAATATCGTCGCCTCATGTAATAATAAACATTATGTAGGAACCCAAATTACAATGCCAGGTTATAGAATTTCGCAAGGCTTCTTAGAACCTACTACTTAAGCTATTAGGCGTCACAGACAATATACGTACCTACCTAGGTACCTATCCTATTCAACTAAATAGCCAATGGTCAATGGATAATGCAGGATTAACGAGGCTTCCCCTTTGTTCGCCTACCTGGGCACTGTATTCGGATTGTCTAAGGGTCAAAGGCTCTGTATTAGTGAATACATCTACCCCATATACGAAGTTTTTCCTCATCGTCCGATAAGATATGTGATCATATGAGTAGCTTAAGTAGTAGATATGTCGCCATGTTACTTTATATCTTCATACTTAATCTTTATATATCGGTTAAGGGATGATAGCTATGTGCACTCACCCTACCAGTCTCACAGCCAACATATATATATCCAACTCCGCCCCGTCTATCATCACGTTTTCACACTTAAGGTTTCTCAAAGCACATGACCGCATACCTAAACGTCCCATTTGCATAGCCTCTCCTCATCGCCCTAAATGCCTGCAAGAACGCAAGGCCGTCTCTACCTTGAGATATGGCGAAGGCCCAGAGCGAAGGCGAGGAAACAAGAGACCATGAAATATCCCTATATGTGACAATTAGACCACGAATTTACAATAGCATAACTTGAAGTAGCTTACCACGTCTTAGCCACATCCTTACTTATATCAACCGGCTCCTTGCGAGCTCGGAACCCTGCCTGCGTCGCCAGTGCAACATACTCGTCCGCGGTATAGAGCCGGGGAAGTAACATGCCGTCTTCAATGGGCTTGATGTCAGCACTCTCTTGCTCGGGCGATAGAATCGGCGCCTTAAACCAATCGGCGATAACGAGCAATCCTCCACTCTTCACCAAGGAAAACGATGAAGAAAAGAAAAGTTCCTTATTCGGCAGATGCGACAGCGCCTCCGATATCCAGACGCAGTCAAACGTCTCCGCTTCACCGGCAGCCGGACGGAAGTGATCCAGCATCTTCTCGGCATCGAGCTCGAGGAAGCGAACCTTACCTCCCTCCTTCCCCGCCTCATCGGCATACTTCGCGAAGCTTCCCGGAGGAGGCGCGGCACCACCCGTCTCTGTCGCAGTCACCTGCCTCGCGATCTCGACCTGCCTTCCGCTGATCGTAATGCCCGTGACCGTGCAACCGCGCTCGCGCGCAAGAAAGCGGCTCGTGCCGCCGACGCCGCAGCCGACATCCAGGACCTTAGCGCCAGCGGGAAGAGCCGAGATCTCCAGCAGATAGTTAATAAGATTGACCTGGGCCTGCTCCTTGGTCTCGTTGGCGGACTTGAAGAGGCCGTGGTGGATGTGTTGGCCCCTACGGATGAAGAATGGGCCTGGCTTAGCTGCGCACCGGAAATAACGACAAAAAAATGAGAGGCGGGAAATACCATAACGAGTAGTAGTAGTCCGACGCGATTTCGTAGTGCGTCTTGATCCTGTCCTTCAGCGAGTCGAAGGACCCGTGGGCCTCAACGCTGGGGATCTCGTGCTGATCGCCGGGGTGGAGTTGGGGACTTGATGCTTCGTGTTGAGCCATGCTTGATAGGTGTAGATATGTATCTAATGTATATATGTATGTACCTCCTTGGGTTGGTATGTCTTACAAGTTCTATGCACAGATCGGATTTAGATAAGAAGAGGAAAGTTGTCTGGGGAGAAGTGAGGCAGAAGAAAAGTCACACGACAAGTAAGTGGCATACCTACCAGTGCCCAGGTATTTGTTCAAAGAAGCTATTCTGGTGAGGTTTTCAATAGATATGGGCCGAAGCAACGCTAAGGCAAGCAACTGGGATCTTGGCTGCATATCACGTACATATTGCTGAGCGCTTGTGACGAACTCCGAAACGTTGAATCGTCGTTGTGCCTTTCGCCTAATCTGCAATTGGTTACATCATGATGAAACCGACAGCAGAATTATGGCGGTTCTCTTGGGGATTTAACTATGCTGAGCTTTTTTTGGCTTGTGCACTTGCATAAATACCTGTACTTGTAGGCCACCTACCTGTTATACACATATGTATAGCTGAACTATATAGGTTTGGTACACACAACAGGACTCATAGAATAAATTGAGGATAATCTTTTGAATAACTAGTTTAGATAACATTATATTGATTCATAAACATACACTCAAGAGTTGAGATATATGTTACCAAGCAGGCCATTTACAACGTCTCGTCTCAGGCCGTTGAACAGAACGGAAATGCGCCGTATAAACGCCACCCCATACCGCTTCCCATACGTATAAAATAAAATAAAAAACCATAGATAAGCAAATTCAAACTCCTCATGAGGTTACCTGCTTAGACAGTAGATCTAGTTCTTAAACATCATCGGCCAAAACAGCAACGTCAGTCCGAATAGTCAAATCCCTTCAAATTCCCCCCAGCCTCATTTCCCTATACTTTTTTAGAAAATCACAACCCCCCCACGCCTGTGCTCAATTCCTCGCGTCCAATGCCCCTCACGTCCCGGATGCTTTCTCTCATACCTATCATGCTTATGCTTGTGCCTTACTCCCTAATCGAACGTAACGCTTAGACACTCGACCAATGTATTCTTTGTTTCGCGAAAAAATGTAGGGATAGCCGATAGACCCCCCGGTATGGTATTAAAGTAGTGGTAGATAGGTCAAACTCATCTCCCATTCTGCGTCGCGGACCCATTCTCGAAGCTAGGATACACGCCTCCCGTGAACTCGGCCCAATCCCAGTCGAGCCCGCCGGGCATCTGCCATAGCTCCTGTGGGAGCAACGGCTGGTATCCGCCCGCGACTCCAGGCGCGGCGGGACCCGGCAACGGCGGTGACGCGATCGGTTGTCCAAAGCCTGTCATCTCTGAGAAGTTACCGAAGTCCATAGCGTTAGGGTTCCATTCCTGCTGTTGTTGCGGCGATGGAGACGGCCAGCCTCCAGGTCCGTCGCGTGGTGCTGAGCCGTTGTTCGAGCTCGCTGTGTCCATGGGGCTAAAGCCTCCGTTTGCTGCATTATTAGCACGGTTTTGCTCTCCGTTAAATTTGGGCGATAGCTGCGAGGTTCCGGAGTAGTTGCCCGTCGGTGTGGCTGCCGATGAGGGTTGCGGCGTGCTGTATATTTGCGATGGAGAAGCTTGACTGATGGAGGGTCTCTGAGGCTCGTGACTCTTACGCTTTCGCCGATTAGTGTCGCGTTCTGCCTTATCGATGACGATCTTGGCGATGCGCTCAAACTCGGAGCATACACCGAGCATACGATGCACTCCACCAGTTTCAGCCTCTTGGCCGAGGGTGGAGAGGAATGTCACCACCAGATTCATTAGTTTTGTGTCCGACTTCGCTCGCGGGTCTAACGGGTTCTGCAGAATATTCCCGAAGAGCGTGACGAGAGCCGAGACAGGGAAGTAGAGAATAAGCCTGCAGTATGTTAGTAAGGATAAGGAGTGCGGGTATAAATATTGAGACACTCACCAAACGCAGGAAAAGTCGCCCTGCGGGATATATTTGAGGAGTTGAATACTTGCTCGGGCTGCGGATGCGCACAGAGCTGCAGATGCAAATACCCGTGGATTTAAAGGCCTGGGGTTCAAGCCCTGGATTGCGTAATTGGATAGTCGACTTGTCCAGTAGCCGTGATGTATAGACATGCGATGGATTGTAGTGAGGGCATTGTAGTAAGAGAAATGTAACATGACCACATGGAGTATTAGAGGAGTGTGAGACGCTTTTATTTCGTGTTCCGGACGGAAATCAATAGGGATGTTGTCCTTCCAAGTGTCTAGCTGTTTATCAAGCTCTCCTATGGTTTGTAACAGCTCGCCTTCTGATAACTTGGTGGCCTTGGTTGAATAGAGCCTCTTATAAACCTGACTTTCAATAACTGTTAATTCGCACATCGCTCGGAATAGATTCATCTTTCCCTTTCCGTCGGCAAGGGGAATGTTGCCAATATTGTCTACTGGATCGGCATCTGGGAGCTCTACATTCATGTCATCGTCATCCTGCGCTGGAGGCCGTCCGGATCGGAGACACAGATCCTTGTCCAGCATATATGCTATCCAGAACACTCGTTTCCTTTGCTCAATCTCGACCGGGTTCAGATTAAAACCACATCCGCGCTTATGCAACCCGATGCTGTGCGACAGTCTGATGGCTGCGGCAACCAGCAGAAACGACGGCTGAGGGTTGGGTGTTCCCTGCATAAAGGAGGCCATTCCGAGTAAAGCTTGCACGCTCAATAAGTCGGTATTGCGCATCGTTAATTCGGAGAAGACGCCCATGGCGTTCTTCATGTACGCCCACGACTTATCGTCCTCTTCCTGCGGTACTAGATTACTCATGACTCTAAGACGATGCGCAATGGCTAATGCAACATTCAAGCTAGCCCACCATCCCGAACCCTGATACGGGTCATTGGAGTACTGCCTCTCAACGAGATGCATAAACGTTGGTTGGTGGAACAGCGGGAACATGCAGTTGAAGTTGTCAAAATAGTCTTTGAGCAGGGATAAAGCCTCTGGCTTAGGCGGTAATTGCCGATAAATATGACGATGGAAAAGGTCACTAAAAATCTCGGGTTTCCAGTGATTCCATTTGTGATCGTCGATGGATACTTCTGATATCATTTGTTGAAACGATCTGTCTCCCGTCTTTTCGTTTACCCATTGGATACCCTTCGGTGAGAATATAGAGAAACCCGACGATGACCCTAATACGAGTTAGCCGAATTCTATCACGGGTTATATTCGTGATTAGTTAGTGGTTAGTACCTATATATCTTGTCTCTCCGGACTGATTCGTTACTAATGAACACATCATTTCAGATAGGGACTCGACTTCTTCATCTTTAGGCCGTTCGGGTTGCGGTGAGCTATCTTTTCTATTATCACGGTCTCTAGTCGGCTCTGGGGATGTTAGGGAACTTTGAGGTGTCGATGCAAAGCCATCATGACCAGATGTCGTTTGCGACGGTGATGTAGGATTTGAAGTGGCCGCTTGCGAAGCTTGTCTCGACTGCTGGTGCTTCTCTGCGAGACGTCTTTCCAGTGTAGCTAGATCGGTTGATTCATCGTCGTCTCCAAGTAGGCCTTCCTTATATTGTGAGCCAATGCAAGGTGTATAATAAAGAACTCGGGACGTACCGGATAGCCTCAGCAAACTTTCCATGCGCCCTAAACGGTTCTCAAGACCCTCGATATACTTTGCACTATTCGTATAGGTCAGTCTCTAATCGGACTTAGTTGGACATGAACCACTCATACCCTTTAGGCGGACTTCTCTTCTTCTCGACTTGCGTGAAGACGCATTCCGTCTTATAGTTAATACAATGCGTGCACGCGGGAAGCTTTCCGTCGCACTTTATTTTCTTCTTCCGACACATATCACAAGCCTTCATTTACACAGGTCAACTTATGTACAGCTGCACAACCGAAACTGGTGATAACTCACCCGTGCAATTCTCCTTCTCTTTGCATCGTTCGGGTCATCAAGCAACGACGACGGATCGAAAGCCATTTGTGCCGCGAGTTCCGGATGTAATACGGGTAAGCCATCGTGACTATAAGTTCCGAATATCTGTGGTGGTTGATTCATCAGTTGTGGACGGTGCATTCCCGGTATCTGGAAGCCCCCGGGATCAACCCTCATGTGATCCATAGTCTCTCTTCTACGGACTTAGTCGTTGATTCGGTTGGAAGTTGTCGCTCCTGGAGATAAGAAAATCGTCGGGGTGGTTATCGAGATACACGACGTTATCGTGGGGGGGTGTTTTGGTTAATTAAGAGAGTTAATGTAAGTTGACGTTTTAGAGAAATAATCCAGCCTAGGTAACTTTCAGGTAGGTACTTTATGTGGTACTAGGATTTTGCGGATTTAAAGTGTTTCCCCATGGACAGTGATCGATCTCCTTGCCTGTCTTTATCGAAATTGCCAACGGGTCTGTCTCCAGTCAAGACTCTTAGCAAGTGCGCTATTCGCTCGGTGAATTGTCTAAGGGGGCTTGGGCCGGGTTTAAACGCCGGGTTGTATGTACAAGGCTCTGTACGATGTACTGCGGATTCGTACTCGCTTTTTTTTTTTCTTTCTAAACTTGGTATCAGATTGAAGATTTAGGCGCCAAGCACTACTAACTGAACACAAAGATATTTTAGGGACGGTAATATGTATAGCTAGACTATCATATCGCGTGGCTTAGACGTCTAGACCAATAGTTTATTAAAAAAGTGGCTTAAGGGAATTATTGGCTATTGTTATTCTTCTTCCATAGGGCGAAATAGAAGGAAGAGAAAAACAAAAAGGACTCGTAACATATGAGACAAACAGAATGGAAATTCCGTTGTCTGAGACCTTATGATGTCCGTTGGTAACGCTAGTTGACTACTGACTAGTATTGACTGTCAGGGACGTGCGAGTACTCCCCTCCTAGTCCAAACAATGATTCAGTGGGATTGAAGTTCCCCGCGAATCAGAATTCACTATGACAGCACCAAAGGGTTCTGGGGTGGTATTATGAGGGGATCCTTTCGTCCTGAGTACCGGCAGGGTATAGTATGATAGACGCTTGAATACCCTCGGATCCCATGTCCTCCCATGTCCTACAGCTTCCAAAAGTGTCTGGTCTATGAATTACAAATTACCTAGTTACCTTGTTACCTAGAGTTAACAAGATTTATGATCTTTCCGAAAAAGTGCCTATATACCAAGCCGCTTAGTTTCCCCTTAAGTTAAGACAATAGATCGTCGAGGAAGTCAAGAATTCACTCGATCGGACAAAATGATACACCAGACCCTTGAATATTAGAGAAAAGTCCCCGAGTCCTAGTTTAGCCCCTCTTGCCTTTTTTGGTAATCAAGAACACTAATGCCTTTTGTTAAGCGTCTTTTCGAAGCCAGAAACGCTATGTAGAAACGGATTTCGGAGTTTATAATTATAATATTAGTTAGATAACTAACAACAACTGAGAGAGCATTTCTTTATGAAATTCCAAGATTTGAGAGGGTATTCTACATATTTCCAAGTTAATCCAATAAGCTTAGATACGTATCTCGTCAAAATTGTGACGACATATGGTGGAAAATATCATACGATAGATAATACTTACCTAACCTAGGTATACTTATCTTAGGCACCTAAGGTATTCAAGTATCATCAGAACGTTTGATGTCAGAGGCCGCCAACTACATGCACATGGTCGATAAGCTTCAATCCTTCCCCAGCACTAGGTTACGTGCATCCCCACCCTTAGACTTGATCGCCTTGCAGAAGTGACCTTGGTTTCATCCACCTAGGTAGTATGGGATGAAGAATCCAGTCTAGACTCAACACCCAAGGGGGTGACGAGATCTATCTACAAGCGTATGCGTTAGCGTTACCCGGGGTAAAGATAGACGGCATACGGATCCGTAAACACCAACGAACTTGACTCCGTCACCTCGTAACGGTATGGTGACATAGACATACCGATTTGTAATAACAGGCCAAAGCGTCAACGGAATCGCGGATAAGAGGCCAAGTCGTGTTTCATAACCGTCTCAACAGGTACTTATCTTTACAAACCCCTCCGTTAATCATATTAGGTAGTGAGATGCGATGCACGCTTGTGCTTAGGAATAAATGCTTCGTATGTAGCAACGTAAATTCATAGTGAAGGATTACTTCTTAAACTATACCTAATGGGAATAAACTAACTTCAGATCCATACACAATCGACAAGCTTATTCCATCGGCATAATAAGGCAAGTCTTTCCACTCAAGTCCTGAAAACGGTTATAACACAAGATCCGAAATGATATAGATAAAATATGTTTGATGACAATTATGCTTGATTAGGAGCAGACCACAGAGGAGATAGCTGCCGCAACCTCAACTCCCAAATATCGTGCTCTCATTGTCGTTATCCAGCCCGAAGGTCTGGAACGACATTTGACTATTTACAAGAAATGGTTTACATCTGACGCAGGGCCGAAAGCTATAAAAAAAACTAGCCTTCTATCCCTTTCCCCTATAACCCCTTGGAGTTTTTATTTCATATATCAACGCCAACCCGATGCCGTGACGAGTATATGTCGACACAGAATAACAAACAGGTATCATCACAATAAAAAAAAAAGCGAAATGTACACAAGCAAAGATGAAAAAGCAGGGTATCTATCCAGGGGGTCATAACTCCTCGGTAAACCGGGAAGCTGAACCGTGGGAACGACTCGACCCATCGTGAGAAGGGTGGGATCGTCCAAGTGGATCTCGAGGAGGCTCAAGTTCTGAAACAGGACTGAAAGGTACCTGCTCCGTCTTTGGGGTGCGGGCCGGCCCCGGGTTGAAGACCGGGATTCCGCTTTCCGGCCGCATCGGGGCACCCACAGCTAGCCTAGTCGGTGCGAGCCCACCGCCTAATCCAGGGAAGGCCGAGTCTCGATAATCAATGGACTGATCACTTAGGATAGTATCCCGGGGATCCGAATAACCATCCCCGCCGAACTGAATAACCGGAGGTAATTTCCTCCCAGAAACCTTAGAAAATCCTCGTTCGCCCCCATCCGAAGAGGCGGCACTACGTCCGGAGAAGTGTTTATACCCAGTCAAGCTGGCGAGAGCCGCGGGAATTGCAAAGGGAACCGAACGCCGTCGTGTTTCAGACATACCGCCCTCTCCTCCTCCGCCGGGACCGGAATTTCCAACCAAACCGCCGCCGGGGCCTCGTTCACTCGTGGAGCCTCGCATGAGCTTAATGGTGTTCTGGCGTTTCTTCCATCGAAGAAGGAAGAGAGCAAGAATCAAAATACCTGCAAGTGCAGCCACACCTCCTAGAACGCTTCCTGCGACCGTGGCCGCCTCGGGTCCATTTGAAACGGAGTCGTCATCGGTCGCTACGGCGCTCGAAGATGATGGTTGTGCATTGCCAACGCCAACAGTACCGTCTCCCGTTTGGGTAGGTACTCCCCAAGAACCAATAGTAGTCGATGTGGGGTTGGAGCGAGTGGTAGTCGTTGGCGAGGAGGAAGAAGAAGTAGTAGTAGTAGTAGCAGTAGAAGAATCAGAATCAGACGATAGTACAGTACTAGCTGATGACTCAGACGACGAGGAATTAAACCCCTCGATGGAAAATGAAGGTAGCAAAGTAGAACTAGTACTATTGGGAGAAAGAGTGGACGAAGAAGCTACGTATATGTTAGAAACCAATAACAAAACGACAACGACGGGGAATTATTTATAGTCGTAATAGTTAATAATAATTAAAAATAAGAGACTTACATTGGGTTGTGTTAGTCACGCCAGCCAAGGATGGGAAAACGGGAGAGCCTGATAAAGGAGTGGACGTCAAAGGCGAATAAGATAATGTGGGAAAGATAGTAGGCATCGAAGACTCCGACGGTGCTACGGTCGGGTCTATCGTGGGGATGGAAGTCGAAGAGAGGCTGTCGCCTTCATCGTCGCTGGTTCCCGGGGAAGAAGTAGGTAAACCTAGAGCAGAACTCGAAGTCGAAGTCGAAGTCAAACTCGAACTTGAACTTGAACTTGTTGTGCTCGTCGGGTCGACACTAACGTCGGGTTCGGAGCTAGTGATATTATAGCTGGACGACGCAGGTGGTGTCGATTGGGATGGCGTGAGGGTCTGGGTAGTAATTGGGACACCGGCGGAATCGATAAGCTCAAGAACGGAAACGGTCGTGACGATTATAGTGGGTTCCGAATCGGTGCGTTTGTGGCCCCTTTTGTTACTGTTTTGAGAACGAGCGTGGTGGGTGTGGTGAGTACGGTGGTGGTAATGATGGTGGTGGTGGCTTTCTCTGGAATTGTGAAAATGATTGTGTTGATGTACGTCTCGGGTCTGAGGGAGTGAAGACCCCGAGACTGGGGTTGTCATCGCGCGTGGCGGTGAATTGGAGAAATACGAGCTTTTTTCTCAAAGTGCGTGCGTGCGTGTAAGCGTGTGTACTAGAATACTAGTTTTTTTTTTAGAGGCAGAGTCGGATTCGCTGGTGGGTTTTGGGGGCGCGGTTCGCGGTTTGCGGTTCGCTGCTTGGGATAGACTCGTTTTTTTGGCCTGACTAAAAAAAAAAGGCTGCGATTGACTGGCTGGCTGGCAGGTAAAAGAGTGAAAGAGAATGAATGCGTTAGTTAGGTTGCTGATCGTCCAGAATAGCATCCCATCATTATCGTATTATTATCGTCCCCTATTCCTACTTCTTCGATCTTTGTAGTCCTTCTATCGTTGCCGGATCCTCATTGTTGGCGCGAAAGGCTCTGGAACCGAAACATCGACACCCACAAGCGACGAACGGTCGGCCGGACGTTAAGGTGAGGATAAAGAGAGGTAAAGGAGAGGAGAGAAATTAATGAAACCCGACGGCGGGAGCGTTTTTGATAATATGTTTGCCAATCCAAAAATTAAAATGAGATACTTCTCATCAGTGGACACCCCCCCGAGCATCGTTAGCTTCGTCGGACGCTCGACATGACACTGAATTTGGGGGCCTGTCTCGCTGTAAATGGACGACAGTGCTGGAAGGGTGATGCTGCTCATTTCGCTTGGGCTGAGCGTTGTCCCTCTGACCAGGGGGTCATAAACATACGGACCAATCATACTTAATAGCTACGGACAAGGACATGGGCAAGCCCTTCTACGATTGGTCCGCGAGACGGGGATTTCTTTACAAACATACGGGCATCTCTTGCATCCTCATAGGTCATCACCAGGTCGTTGTACCATTTCATGACGTTTTATCTCTTGAGAAGCCCCTTTTTTAAGACTTTTTTTTTTATACATATCATTATGGTGGATATCAACTTGATTCAATAAGTTGGTATTGTAAGATAGAATATAGGTAGAATATAGGTAACTATATAAACCGTGATATACCAAAACATTAGTGCTTGCAAGGGCAGACGAATATAAATGTACTTCTCGATACCCCCAAATCAACATGCCAAGCCTGTAACCAATGCAGGAACACGAAGTTTTAACTGCAGTAGGTTGGAAACCTAAATCCGCACAAGGTTAGCCACAGGTAAGCAAGATAGAATCATGATTCGATCCATTCGCGTGTAGCCGCCATATGCAAACCACCCGGTCCATCGTAGATTAGACAAGTTATGGTTGGCGGGTAGCAGAACAGCTCGTATTCCTTGGTGCAGATCTACCTGTTAGAAAGCCACGCGATTGGAATTGATTGATTCCTATGACAGATAAATGATTCATGACTGCGCTCGTATCACCACTCCTACTATATACAAAAACTCTCACATCTTCCTTCTCCTCATCTTCTCCTATGTACTACCTATTGTTACTTTTTATTTTTTTAAACTGAGAGGACCGGCCCAGTCCGTAGTCTGTTTGGTCTACTCAGATCGGTCTGGGCTTACGGCCTAATTTAGATGGCGTCAGGGTCCCCCAGGCCAAACGGTGGGCCGCCTTATTTATACCGCGGGTGCTTACGCGCAGCTCTGGTACTTGGCTTTTCCAAAATCATCTTGTTTTAGGGGAATTGCGTCATAATTTATATGAGATTCTCCGGTAATGGGGTCAGTAAAATCTAAAATCTAAAATCTAAAGTAGAAAGAAAAATAAGATTGTTTACTTTAAATAAGATATCAATGTTTACTTGAGTAAAGGAAGGGATACGTACGCACTTATATAAGGTAAGCATTAGTTATGTTGTTGTGAGACCACGAATCTTAAGCTAGGATGTTCCTAGTTTAGTACAAACTGCCCTCTATATTAGCTTCGGTCTACGCCCTATTTTTGCACCAGTCCGCATGCCATATACGCACTATCGTCGTGTCTAGACTCGTAACAACATGAGATTCGTCGCTTTGTCTTTATGACCTAACTAAATGATATCTAGCATCTTACGAGCGTACGTTGCTTGTGTTTCAACATCTTGCTACGTGCGAAGCTTACAATTCATGTTTTTCAATATTAACTATCCAAAATGGGTAAGTAAAAAGAGTACCGTAGTATTATAGTCTTGAATAGGGCTATTACACAACAATACCTTTCGCATGCACACTAAAAGAGACTGTCTCATCGCATCGTATATAGTGTAAGTGGCTTGCCAATAATGGCGCTTATGTAAAGTCGTCTCTTACTGAAGAACCGAATTCATGGTTAGTCTTCGATTAACCTCGGATCTTACAAGAAAGAGATAACTAAACACTTTAAAACACGAAGTGCTAAATCTGATGAAGCTATCGAATTTTTCTTATATTTAACATTCTCCAATTAGGGAGGTGATACAGATTTAGAAGAGTATCACCTTATAATAAGAGTAGTTGTGATACGTGTTGCTAGTTTTTGTTGATGATTAAATCTCACTTTTCAACCTAAAAGAGAAGCCAATAGCGCTTTACGGCAAAGTAAAACAATAGATCTGCAAATAGGCTTGTTAGTAATGCAGCCTCACCCACCGAATAATAGGTCAATTAGAAACAAATCTCTCAGTTCGCTCGGACAACTTCATAATAGGAGCATAATTACTAGAACTTTTTCTTGCCATTTCCATCAACAGAGCTACCTACTTGCATACAAAGATAGGTACATATCAAGAAACTACCTAGGTGGTTACTTAAGAAACATCGAGAATATCAAAAGCGACATATTAACAACCTACCTAGGTAGATACCTAATAATGACAATCTATTGCTAGAAAATCAAAGGTGTTTAAACTATGCTTAATATTAGAGAATCCCCAAACATTACCGTCTGTTTTAAGCTTAGGTAAAAAGCCTGTTATATGTTCGAGTTGCATTGTTCTCGAATCCACCCTCGAAACTCTCATATAAGGCAAGACCTAACATCATTAAATTCGATAATCTTATGAGCATCTACCCATACTTATCTACCTTAAGTACCTGTTTACTTGGGACGACTCGCAACTTTTGAAGTGTTTAGTTTAATTAAATTACTACTTGGACATTTCTTGATGGGCCTTGATTATGTCGGTGGTAGTGAAAAGCCATGTCGTCGGTTCGCATACCCTTCTAAGCTACATCCCGAGCGTAAGGCGTATGCTTGAGGAAATAATATGATTGGGACTGGAACCATCTTCTAGTTGTATGATAAACTAACTCGCGTAGCTTGGTTGAACCCATGCACATAATAATAGCCGTATTAATTTCGTCCTAGGGGTATCACGAAAATGCTTTGATGCTAATTTTATCGATCAATGCTCGTATTTTCTCGGGGGGTAGCCCGAATCAACGCCAAAACGCCGTCCAGTCATTCATATTCCCATCCAAAATCTCCTAGGCGAACGATACCCTCTTCTTCTTGGGTTTGGTGGCCTTGGTCCCAGCAGATGCGACTTCCTTGATTCTATCGCCGTCGTCGTTCTCATTAGGCTGCTTAGTCCTCTTCCTCTTTCTCCTCAGCGAGTCCTTGGTCTCGTCGAGCTTTGCCTTTTTCTCATCCTCTTTCTTCTCCGCTTCGACCCTTCTCGCCTCGCGTATTTCTTCCATCTGCCGGGCCTTGATCATCTTGGATTCGATCTCTCCATCCTTGTCGGCCTGAACCATGGCTAGAATCGTATTCATGCTTTCCTATTGGCGCAGCGACACATGTTAGCACTAATTCGTTGGCTGAAATGGAATAATCATATGCGAACTGGCCGTACCTTGTCGTCTACGAAGACTTTGCCCTTCTTCTTCCCTTTAGGTTTTGTAACTCCGACCGGGGTCACCATATTCAATTCTGGAATACCCAATTCCTTCTCTGAGTAGACCCTCTTCTTTTTCTTCCTCAGTAGGTCAGGTGTGTTTTTCCCTCTTACTTGCTTCGAAAGCACCGGTCCCTTCCGTTTTGACTTGACGATGCCATCTGACGGACCTCCTTTTGACGATTTACTGGAACTTATACCGGATTTATTCGCGGCATGCTTATTTTTGACTGTTTTTGTTCTCGAAGGCGCCATTTTTACAAAAGTTCTGATGCGACAAGATGTAGCTTGAAGACTTTGGTGCAACCTGCAGATTGTAGAAATAAAATTGTACTTTTACTTATCAGCGATAAGAGATAACCATACAGGTAGCGCAACCCACTTACTCAATCAGGAAAAGAATTAGCTAATAAAGCCGCCATCTGTTTAGTTGCGAATTCATATGCTTTAGCACGCTTAAGTAACTTAATCTAATGAATGTAAAGTTGAAGCCGTATGTTTTTGTTTATTTTTATCATCTAAGCACATGAATATGCCTTTTTAATGGCTATACCAAGTTGTTAAATGTCAGCGAGCTTACACACGACACACAAAATGCATATGCCAACTTCCCATTAACGCACGAGTCAGGAGATACATTCCTCTCCTCTTATCCTAAATAGACTACCTATCCCTCATTAATAAGTGGATTTTACCAGATGCCTCAATGCTAGGTAGGTATATTATGTTTCATATATGATTTAACAAATAGCTCTAGCTACAGCACCTCTAGGACAGAATATGCGGCTTAAGACAGGTAACCTAAGTTTTAAAGAATAACACCATTATACCAAAAAGCAAAAAGTAAAGGTGGTAATCTAACTACAAGTTTGTTCGCGGCCGATCATCAGCATTTATGCTTAAAGCATAACTTAAAGCCATGGGCTTTACTTTGAACTCAATGTACCCTGGCCTTCGGGACGGTCCGCTCATCGACGTATTCGAGTATACAACGTCGTAAAGGGTTACGTTACTCATATTTACCCAAATAGAGCAATAATTCCAGCAAAAAACAGTGTAGGCCATTTATATGCTTCCGTAGGGTTTAACGCTTGAAGCTATTGGTGTTAGACATACCTAAAGCTTACGAAGGATCTTCCGCAAGAATTCGTCGGTCTCAAGCTTTCGAAGCTACTCCAATCAAGGTCCATGGAAATGCTAACGGAGTGTTTTTATTGCTTTTTTGGTTGGCCAGAATATACGTTATAGTCGATATACCCCACTGATCGACAGAGGCTTTATGGTGGCCTGCAGGTGAAGTAGCGCTATAGAAAACCCTAAATCGAATAATTAGCTTTATAACGATTGGTCAATCGTCTGACGCTATAGCTTTCGCCTTCGCATAAGCCGATCCTCGGCGGATCAAAAAAATTACAAGTTAATACATTTACAACTTAGAAAACTAAAAAGTTAACTCGGGAACAAACGACATACCTAAACGAAAATGGGTTCCGAGAAAGCTACCCCGCGATGGGCAGCGTTTACCCGCGACACCAACGAGACCAAGATTCAGCTGGCTCTGAACCTCGATGGCGGGGCATTTCCTGAACATACCGACCCTCGCCTACTAACGTCCGTCGCCGAGGGCCATGCCAGCCAGTCGAGCAAATCGCAATCCATCAGCGTAAACACAGGCATCGGTTTCCTCGATCACATGCTCCACGCCCTGGCCAAGCACGCCGGCTGGAGCTTAGCCCTGGCGTGCAAGGGCGACCTCCATAGTACGAGCCCGCCCAACAACATGACATGATGAAGAACGAAGACCCGCTGACGAAGAATAACATCGCAAAGTCGACGACCATCACACCGCAGAGGACGTGTGCATAGCGCTTGGATACGCCTTCGCGAACGCGCTGGGCAGCGCCACGGGCCTAGCACGCTTTGGCTCGGCGTATGCGCCGCTTGACGAGGCGCTCTCGCGCGCCGTCATCGACCTATCGAACCGGCCGTATAGCGTCGTTGAGCTCGGTCTCAGGCGCGAGAAAATCGGCGACTTAAGCACCGAGATGATCCCGCATTGTCTACAGAGCTTCGCCCAGGGCGCCCGCGTTACCCTACACGTCGACTGTCTGCGGGGCGAGAACGATCACCATCGTGCCGAGAGCGCTTTCAAGGCCCTTGCTGTTGCCATCAAGCAGGCTACTACTAGGATACCTGGGAAGGAGGGCGAGGTGCCAAGTACGAAGGGAACTTTGAGCGTATAGTTGCTTAATATAAATGGTTAAACTTCTAACAACAGATATATTTACATACCAAAGTCTTCATGATGATCTAATTATCTAGTTGTTTAATATCTACTAAATTCGAACCTCTACGATGGTCTTGAATAGCCCTTTCCCCTTTGCTCTTCGACATGTCATCTACATCACATATTCTCTTTATTCTCATATCTTACGTTGACAACTTGACAGACAACCTCGAATTCATGCGACTGTTGTTATTATTTTTAACTCGTGCTTATTTAGCAAACGACGAATATATCTTGCTTCTCATTTAACTTCATTCTATTATATTCATACCAGCCAAGCAATGTTGGTGGCTAAGAGTCTTTTACGTTATATGCGTGATAGTAGACCACCAAGAAACCTAACGCGATCATTACGATTCCGCCACAATGTTCCCAGCCATGTCTAGCAATCTCATTAATATTCATATACATAGGGCAGCGAACGACAGCATCCCACATGCTAATCCCGTATAGGGTATCACTCCCAGTTCATACATATTTTTCTTTTTGAAAGGTACCGTTCCCCTCACGTTCATGAACAAACTCCTCCGTTAGAAGAGCAGTGCGCGTTTAGTAGCGGTAACCAGCCGGTGTAGTATGCGCCGTCGCAGTGCCGGTCTCGGGGTATGCGACTTGACCGTCGTACTGGTATTTGTTATTGTGCACCCCATTTTCATGACCGACAGCCGTAGCCTCGGTGTTATAACTCTGACGCATCTGGTCTGGGTGGGTGTGCTCAGGCAAGATGTTAGGGTTTGGGCTATCTACAGTCTTCTTTCGGCGGAATAGTCCGAATATGCCTCTCCGCCCGCCGTAGCCCGACGTGTAGTTGTTGGCAGGACTAGGGCCAAATCGCTGTTCCTTGCGTCGGTGGCGGACGAGGACAACCTCAAGAAGAGCAGAGAAGACGAAGAAGACACTGATATATCGGTCAGTAAGTTATACGAACAACCCGGAACAAGAACACTTACACTGCTACAATCGAGACGGCTAGACAAGCAGTTTCCATCTGACAAACTTGTTTATAAGTAGGGTGCTGATTGTCGATCAAGTCCTCAGCACGACCGGTGCCAAAAAGCGTATCGACCGTGCCGGTGCAACTGCTGGCTCCGGCACGAGTAGCAGTAGCAACATAGATATAGGACCCGATGAAGCAGATATCCAGCACAATGGCGATGAAAGAGGTGAATGGGTGACCAGCCAGACAACATAAGAGCAGAAGTCCGAGAATAGTATATAGTACACCGATACCCGAAATACCCTCAACGGCACGTGTCCATGTTGGTATGGGCAAATTACGGTTAGCAAGCACCGCGAGGAAGTACGAGAAAAGTGCGAGGATAAGAGCGCTGCAACCGAATTGCACGCCTCGGATGAACCATTGAACTACTTTGAGTGCGAGACCTGCTTTGGCGCCCATGATGGCGGTTGTTTGCTAAGTTGTGCGATCAAATCGCAGTTGTACGGAGTAGTACGTTGTGAAATGGGTCGGGAATTGAGGTAAGGTAAGGTAAGATGAGGTGAGTATGAGTAGAGTTGAGATGGAGAGCTTCCAGAGATTCCGGGGATAGGTTAGAAAAGGTCTAGACGCAAAAGATTTGTGCAGGAGTAGCAATAATATAAACCGGGGACAAAGGAGGAATATTGAAATAATAGGTGGGTTAGGGTGAACAAGTGTGTGTCACTTTTTCTTCTAGTCGGTCAATGAAAGGGAATTGACGTTACTCAGGATACATGAAAAGAGATATCGTTCGGGTTTTTCCACACGTTTGTATGCACTATGTACAGCAGGAGGCCGATGATAAACGCAGTTTTCTACTCGATCCAAAGCTTTGTACATACATAAAAATTAACGATGACGAATGCGGTCAGAGTTTATCCCAATCTGCGCCATTACAACAAGGTACCTCTGCCCCTCCATCTCCCTCAGTAAAGCTTCTCATTCGACGATGGCCTGTCACACTAGTGCCGATCTGCCGGCGTGACGTTGGGTCCCGACAGGGATAGAGAATGGTTATCGTCGCTGATTCGCTACGGAACCAACAAAGCCACAAACTGGCGTCATAGCTTGTGGCTTCGGCAGTGGGCAGGTTTGGCGGTTTAGCCACACTAACAGGTAATGACGATCGTCATCCGTCTCATCCGTCGCAACAAGGAACCAGCTTATTAGTGTGTCTGTTTGTATCGAAAAGAACGTCGGATGCTTTAGCAAAGGGGGTTTCGCAGCATGTGAATTACTCTTAGTTAAGTTAGAGTACCTAGCCTAACTCCCTTCTTAGAAATTATGGATTCATTTTTTTTCCCGCCTTCAATTACATGGGGAATTTAAGAATGCGATTATTCTACTTTCATTATCTTCCATGGATATTTCTGTAGGAAGTGGACCTGATTTTACACCTCTGATAGCCTATCGTCAACCCGACATTTCATAAAAATTATCTTGTCAGAGACTAATATGGATAAATAGATCTAGTTTGCTTTTATCATCATCGAAGCTTGAGTGGTAGCTATTACGTTGCTGGTGTCATCAGCTTATTGACTTGGCCGCTTGGCTTGGTTAATAACTTAACTGCAGTTGCGGGCATATGACTATCATCCATGCTATTTCCAAATTTAGAAATTATGTTGGACTGACTTAAACCAGTGGATAAGCAGACCGAATATAAGAGGGTACATAGAAGATCCAATATTCGTATATGATGTCTACATCAATAGTCTTGTTAAAGATATTGCTTTTGAGAAATAAACTTAGATGAGGTGTAGAGGTTGAAAAGGTTATCGGTTTCAACTCTATAACTCCTCAGTAACCTCAAGTATCAAGCCGGGCTCAGCTTACCTTCATAAGCTTTCACAGCTTCCTACTCTCTGGACAATACTGCCATGTGCCTTCTTTTATAACTGACTCAATTAAGAGATAACTTACTATCAGACCCATTGAGTACTAAGAAGCTGAGGAACGCGGGCTGTCGTTTCTCGATGAGTGTACTTACGAAGGGCTCTAAAGTAAGGGATTAAGGTAGCCTTTGTTTAACTTACTAAAAAATATGATGTATAACATCATAGTCTGAGCCTGTTTCCAGCTAAGCTTTCATCAACAAGCCATTTTGGCAAGTAGTTGGTCGTTGCAATCCTTTCTCTGGCGCACTTTTCGTATTGATCTTATTAACTAATTCTGAGAAGAAGTAGTAATTTAAATAGTTAAAAGTCTCGTCGATTTTGCCCAGGGCGCCGTGTAAGATCAAGCTCAAGGGGAAGACTCTGCCGCGTCTAGGAACGCTCAGTAACCTGCCGAGTCTGCGATTCAATATCTCGACTCCGATGTCTCTACCAGCATGACGGCACGATGGAATGCCTACGGAGACCCTAACTTCTGCGTGGCTGTGACTCCCTCGAGCGAAGTAAAACGCTGTCGAGATTGTGAACGAACCGTCTATCCTCGGCCTGGCAGATATAGCCAAGCTAAGTGTATGTGGTTGGTGAATAGGTTAAAGCTGATAATGCAGTGAACGTGCCGTTTCTTACTATGGGAGGATGTCACCAATATGGCGCTACGCTGCATAATCTGCAAAGTGGTCTTGCTATCGACTTGAGATGCCTGAACGGTATTAATATAATATCATCTACGCCCATTGTAACCGTTGGTAGTGGAGTTAAGATTCGCGGCGTTATTGAGCCCGTCGCCGAGACCGGTTGTTAGATCCGTAAGTTCTTTCTGCTTTATCGAGTAGGGAATAGTCTAGAGCGATGAGGTCTTTCGTAATGCCTAGAGCGGTTTATTGGCTCTGGCTTTGGTAGTGGCATAGGGGACATGGCTGATGTCCTTGGCTTGGTCAGCGGCGCTCTCGTATCTGGAAGACTAATTGTAGGCCGAGGTGATATAATTGAAGCATCGGAAGGCTCGAATGTAGATTTGTTCTGGGGTCTCCGTGGAACTAGAACTGGTTTCGGCATTATTTCAGTTGCTATGTATAAATTATCTGAGCCTGTCAATGATGATAAGTTTTTTACGCCTGTCTGATCTATTCGGCTGGTATAATGTTGGATTGTTTTAATGCGCTTCAATCATTCAATGATCAAATGCCTCATTAATTAGGGCTCTCTAGTGCTATATTCTAAAATTTTACTACTGATGAGGTAAATGTTTGAATCGCTTCTTTTCGAGTGTTGTATACGTGCGTAATATTGGCCACGCTGATATACGCTGATCCTAAATCAGAGGCTCACAAAGATCTCGCTACATTTTTGACTTTAATCCATCTATTGTGCGTGTTAAGAATAACCCATTCTATCGCGGTCTAAACGTCGTACTCACAGGCATCACGGATTTCTCATGTGATACGATAGAAGGCACCCACAGTATACATACAGTCAACGTCTGCTGATTCTCGGTTGAGACATACCTAGCTCATCTAGAAATCTGCCCACGTAGGCGCTCCCACCGTGCTCTGCCCTTTGCTGCAATTCTCGTCCCCGGTAACCGAGTAACCTAGATGATTATACAATTGCTCACTGACATCTAACTACCCATGTTAGGAGGTAAACATGTAGTTAGGTCTGATATTAAGGGATCGTAGCCTAAGCACATCTTTATGTCTTGGGCTAATATGCGAATAAGAATTATCGCTGGTCCTTAATCCTTTGTAGATATAAGAGATGATCTCATCTTTTTGATTTGCCCTTTGCTTTGGAAGCCTTTTGCTTGTCTACGAAATCTTTGATGATGGCATGGAGATCTTGATTTCGCCTGGCTAGCAGAAGGACATCGTCTGTGTTGATGGTAGTACGTCCTGCATGGCGACTAAAGTTTTCTAGATCCAACGCAACGTTTTCTAGAACAGGTTAACCTATGTTGCTATTATGATAGAGCTTAGGAATTCATAAATGTTGGTGATGATGATACCTATTTGAGCCCAGACCATCTCAGTTAAAGCGCCGATAAACTGGGGAGTGACATTTCTGTTTCTCCTCAGGGTCTCTTCGTCAACCATCTTCCCCACAGCGAACCATAGTGCAGCTTTTAGTTGCTATTAGTTATAAATACCGAGTTAGCAAATATTTCTTAGGTAGATAATTGCTTTAGAGTGCTCTCTCACCTCTCGCACCTCTTCCTCGGAATTATCCGCCATGACCGATTATGGTGCTCCGTCTAAATTTAGGACTTGTATAGTTTTAAGGGAGAGGAATTGGCAGTTCAACGCGTCTCGGTTACGTCAGACGCGTTGGAACACTGAAAGTTTAAAGCTCTACGCAGTAAAGTTTAGCGCTATTTTATATTATATAGGGGACCGTGCGCACTAAAGTTACCAAGCGGCCTTTTTCCCTCTTGGATGCTTATTTCACGCGGCAGGCAGGGATTCTGAACCATTCCTACGGCTTAAAAAGTCTCACAAGCCTTGTACATTTGCATATCCATTTGTATGCCATTCATTATTGTCCCATTGCCGAATACCTTTGAGGCATTTGATAAGATATTACGCGACAATTTAACTCCCAACTTCTTTATTTTTTCTTCTTTTTCTTTTTCTATTCCCTTGAACTGAGGAACAATCTATTCACTACAACGAGAAAGACAACCATTTGCCCATCATGTCGGAACTCATAGATCTAGTCACCCATCTATTCGAATCGATATCCGAGCTCTATACGCTGGTTCGAGACCGCTTTAGCAATAACATCAGCGAGTCATTTACGTCTATGACGGCGAAGGAATGGATTCGGCTAGTCATCATCGTTGGTGCATATGCATTACTACGACCGTATATCATCAAACTCGGCGCCAAGCACCAAGAAAAGCAGCTCGAGAAACAGTTTGCAGAAGAAGACGCAAAGCAAGCGGAAATATCGCCTAATCAATTACGCGGCGAAGTCGGTATACCTGAAGATAGCGACGACGATAACGAGGAACAAGCAGAAACTACGGCTTCGGATTGGGGAAAGAAGGCACGGAAGCGCCAGAGGAATATGATAAAGAAGTTGCTGGATGCTGAAGAAAAGAGACTACAAGAGCTACAAGAAGACGAAGAGGATAAGGATATTGAACAATATCTAGTGGCAGACGACTAGATAGTTGTACCGTACCATATAGTAAGAGAATATTGATATGCTTCGTTATCTGTAGCTGGAATAACAAAAAAAAAGCACCTATTATTGGGCAATCGAATATTTATTGTCCTCTATATAATCGATCTAGTAGTGCCTCATAATAGTATTTTGAATCAAGCTTTGTCATTTAATATCCCATAGCTGGCTGTACTGCCAGGTCTTGTAGCTTGGAATTTTTTGGTTTGGTTGGTAAATATGTCCATTTTGTGCATATTATACGATAGGTATGTAGTTTTCTTCTCTTTATCACATAAAAGGGATGCATCGCATTGGAACTTGTTCTTGGACAAAAAAACCCGTTACCTCCGAATGAGTCACGTGTGCTAACGTAATTGAGATAGCTTAGCTTATTAGCACTAATCTGTTTGGGGTTAATCTAGCGCAACGGAAGCTTTGGAATGATCACCCGCCGCATCTTTCTGACAGAGCGAGGCGAATTCGATTTCTAACACACGATTTACCTTAAGAAAACGTTAGAAATCCTTCCGGTATAAACCACTTGTCCGGTTTCAATCCTATTAAATACTACCCGCCCGTAATATCGGCCGCTGCCGCTGCCGCTGCCATCTACGTCCTCATGAGATAACTCGGCTCTCTATATTTTCCTAATCTTCACGGACCCTTGATATCTCCCCCGCCTTCATCGGCCTCAAGCTTTTGGACTAGCCCGGCATGTCAAGCTTATTACGGCGGTCGACCGGTCTTACGCGGGTTGCTAGCATCTCGCTCAGCGCCTCTGCCCGCTCTACTATACGATACTCGCGTCTGCTACCCACCTCCCAGTCTGCCTGGGCAGTCCAGCAGCGTTACTATTCTGAAAAGAAGCCCGAGAACTCCGACGACAAGAAAGAACCCGGTCGAAATGCGGTACCTCGGCCAAAAAACCAAAACTCGAAGCCCCAAATACAGAGCTCTCAATCGCCGGGACCAACGGAGGGTGATGCGCCAGTAACATCTGGTCCTAAAAAGGACGACTCGCCCCCACTACCCCCGGGTTGGACACATCTAACTGACGATGAGTTTAAGTCACTTAAGGCAATGTCCAATTCGGTTGGCATGGGTAATAGCAAGATCTTGGATTTGATAAAAAAGAGAGGAACACCTGAAGAGTTTCGGGATCTAATTAGAAGCTTTCAGAAGGGTACTCCCAGCGCTGGCGATCTTGCGAGAGCATGGAAGGCTCTGCAAAAAATCCCGGGGGTGTTGAATAATACGGAACTTGAAGAGTTTTCTAAGGAGCGGAAATCTAGCTACTTCAACTCGTCCTCAAGAAGACCTCGGAAGCAAGAGAGCAAGGAGCAGGGACAAGAAGAGCAAGGGAATAACCAGCAGAGGCCCAAAGAGGGCGAACAGGGCTTCAGCGGATTCAACTCAAACAAGAAACCTCCAGGCCCTGACCCCAATATCAACCCGATGCGAGGAAACGACTGGCTCACGATGATCGTGGGCTCGGCTATTGCGTATTGGCTTTACAATTCCTTGTTTGAAGAGAGTGGCCGGGAAATCACATGGCAAGAACTGAGGAAGAACTTCTTAGACAAGGGTCTTGTTGAAAAAATGGTTATTCAGGGTCACCGAGTCCGCGTTGAACTTAACCGGGATGCGACCCAGTCTATGTATCCTGAATCAGTTGCGACACGTCCTGGTTTTAACTACTACTTCTCTATCGCCTCTGCTGATGCTTTTGAAAGGCGTTTGGAAGAAGCACAGAACGATCTCGGGATTCCAAGCAGCGAGAGGATTCCTGTTAGCTATGCTCCTGAAAGCCCATTATTAAACCTCCTGATAGCATTTGGCCCAACAGTATTGTTGGTCGGTTTGCTCGTCTGGGCTTCACGGCGTGGTCCCGGCGGTGCTGGTGGATCCAGTGGTATCTTTGGTTTCGGGAAGAGTAAGGCGAAGCGGTTCAGCCACGAGACTGCCATCAAAGTCAAGTTTTCGGATGTAGCTGGCATGGACGAAGCTAAGCAGGAGATCATGGAGTTCGTGAGCTTCCTCAAAAAGCCAGAACGGTTCCAAAGACTTGGCGCCAAAATTCCCCGTGGCGCGATTCTTGCCGGGCCTCCTGGAACTGGTAAGACGTTGCTTGCAAAAGCCACTGCGGGTGAATCCGGAGTGCCATTCTTCAGTGTAAGCGGTTCTGAATTCGTTGAGATGTTCGTTGGTGTTGGTGCGTCTAGGGTCAGAGATCTCTTTGCTACGGCGCGAAAGAACACACCATGCATCATCTTCATTGACGAGATTGATGCCATCGGTAGGTCCCGATCGGAGGGACAGCGGTTCGGGGGGAACGATGAGCGAGAAGCCACGCTCAACCAGATCCTCACAGAAATGGACGGTTTCAACACCACTGATCAGATTGTTGTTCTTGCCGGTACCAACCGAGTAGATGTTTTAGATAAAGCGTTGATGCGACCTGGCCGATTTGATCGACACATCAACATTGACGCCCCGACAATGGCAGGACGGCAAGACATCTTCAAAGTGTACCTGAAGAAAATTGTGACGCATGAAGAAATCGAATATCTAAGCGGACGGCTCGCGTCCCTGACGCCAGGTTTCGCTGGTGCCGATATCGCGAACTGCGTAAACGAGGCCGCACTCATTGGTATGTTTCTTGATCAATCTCATCGAACAAACGTAGACACGATTACTAATGAAGAATAGCCGCAAGGGGAAATGCTGCATCGGTTACATTACTGCACTTTGAGCAAGCTATCGAGCGTGTAATTGGTGGTCTCGAGCGCAAGTCGCTCGTGCTAAACCCGCTAGAAAAGAGGACGGTAGCTTATCATGAGGCCGGACATGCTATCTGTGGTTGGTTCTTTAGATATGCGGATCCGCTGCTCAAGGTTTCGATCATACCCCGAGGTAAAGGCCTCGGGTATGCACAATACGTGCCAGGAGATGCATACTTGATGAGCTACGAGCAGTTAATGGACCGGATGGCTATGACGTTAGGCGGCAGAGTCTCGGAGGAAATCCACTTCCCTACGGTCACGACGGGAGCTAGTGACGACTTCGATAAGGTGACTCGAATGGCCACGGCTATGGTAACGCAATGGGGTATGTCAGAAAAAGTTGGGCCGCTACACTTCCGCAACGACGACAGCAGGGTCTATAAGCCTTTCTCCGAGGGGACAGGACAAGTCATCGACGCAGAAGTGAGACGTATTATAGAGCAAGCGTATAAGAAGTGCAAAGACCTCTTGCTAGAAAGAAAGGAGCAAGTAGGGCTTATTGCAGAGGAATTGTTAAAAAAGGAGATGCTAGTTCGGGATGACATGGTTCGGATTTTAGGTCCTCGACCATTTAATGATAGGGACGATTTTTCTAAGTATTTCGGTGGTGATGCTAGCACGGCACCACCGGCACCACCGGGGCCTCCGCCAGCACCGTCATCGCCATCGCTTCCCGATACTCCTGAGCCCCCATCAAGCCCTGCACTGTTCAAAGAAGTTAAGAGCGAGGATGGCAGGTAGCAATTGTGTATATACGACCTAATAAGCTCGGGAGGCTATTTTCGGCTAGGAGCTGTCGAGGGCTCTCGTCATGATATATAATGACACGAAGCTCCCAACTCATCCTATGTATATTTAAATAATGATGACAAGGGAAAAAAGGAGGGCATGCCACCCCGCCACGGTTTGCATATACTGTACAATAGTAGATAGAAGTCTCACAATCGCAAGACACTGGACTAAAGTTCAGATGTAAGAAGACAGAGTAGAGTTTCGTAGAGGCCACCAATGATGGTATTCCTCATTTGCCCATAAGAGTTTCGATTTCCCGCCCAGACAATGACCCCCCGGCCCCGAATGCGGCCTGCGGCCTCAGGAACACTTTTCTTGCCCGCCTAATCCCCCAGTCTCTCTGTGGGGAAGCGGCTCGGCAACATGAAAACTAACCCAAACCAAGTAGAGCATACGTCAGGATGCCCATCTTGGATTAAGTAATTGTAGGCCCTTTTTTATGGAAGAAAAAAAAAGGTGAAATAAAGTACACCGCCGGTCTAGGCTAATTATCTGATATTTCATAATAGTAGCTATTTATTCATCGGCCTATTGCTATTCGCGTCTGGATTGGCACCATCTGGCACATGTTATAGATATGTCGTCGCTTGGACTCGAATTCATATTCTGGTTTAGCTAACAATCTATACACTTAAGTTAAGGGGGCTAGGTGCATATACGCATATACATCTTAGTGAAGGTATTTGTTACTACCTACATGTAAGTACTAATTTTATATATTGGTAGTTATACTATATTAATAACGTTTTAAGCCTCAGCGATATATATTACGGGAATTTTTTTCATCAACTAGAATTGGGATATTCTGCCTTATCCACCATGTCGCGGACCGCAGACTCGCTGACCCTGCCCACGGCGATGCATTCCCCTGGGGGCGGGACGGCCGAGCCCAGGACTGCAGCTAACCCGTCACCAAGCGCCCGGATCCGGCAATGGACGAGTTCCCTGCTAACATCGTCGCGCAATAATGCCTCCGGCCGCGGCGATAGCGACGCGGCGTATGCGCCTGATAGCTGGTGGAAGATCCATCTCTTCCGCGGCATGGTCAACGACGTGCGCCGCCGGGTGCCGTATTATTGGAGCGACTGGCGCGACGCGTGGGATTATCGCGTCGTGCCGTCGACGGTTTATATGTATTTTGCTAAGTATGTGTCTCCCTTGAATCATTTACTTTCTTTGGGATTGGAAAGGTTGGTTGGCGTCTGCTTCTATATTTGTGTTTTGAAATCGAAGGATGAGAAAGAGGAAGAGAGAGAGAGAGAGACTAACACCTCGTCCCTTCTAGTATCCTCCCCGCTCTGGCCTTCTCGCTAGATATGTTCACCAAGACAAATATGCAGTACGGCGTGAATGAGGTACTGCTGGCGTCGGTACTTGGCGCCGTGGTGTTTGCTGTATTGGCTTGTCAGCCGTTGGTTATCGTGGGAGTTACGGGACCTATTACGGTGTTTAATTAGTATGTCTATTCCTAGATCCTATTTTTCGCATCCTGCATAGTATCCCGAGACCTAACTGTAGGGGCTAGTACTGTCTACGATATCATGTCACCTACCGGGACCAATTACCTGGCATTCATGTGTTGGATCGGACTCTGGTCGCTTGTGTTTCATTGGATCCTTGCTATTACGAACTCGTGTAATTGGTTGCGGTATGTGACGCGGTTCCCGTGCGACATCTTTGGGTTCTATGTTGCTTTTATCTATCTACAAAAGGGTATTCAAGTACTCGAGCGCTTTGGCGATGGGTCACCTTTCTACCTATCTATCATGGTAGCTTTGCTCGTATTTATGGTTGCGTACGCGTGCGGCGAGCTAGGAGGTAGTCCCCTATTCCGCCATCCTGTTCGTGTCTTCCTGAAGGACTACGGTACACCGCTCACTGTTATATTCTTCACTGGCTTCGTCCACTTTGGCCGTATGAAGAATGTCGAGCTAGAGAAGCTTCCTACTAGTGCTGCTTTCTTCCCTACCGCGGATAGGGACTGGCTCGTTCACTTTTGGGATATCTCGGTTGGCGATGTGTTTATTGCCATTCCTTTCGCTATACTACTTACTATCCTATTCTATTTTGACCATAATGGTAAGTTCTACTGAAGCATGGACCGATATAATGTTTCAACTTGGGGAAGATACTGACAGTGACTAGTGTCGTCGCTCATTGCACAAGGGACTGAGTTTCCCCTACGCAAGCCCGCAGGTTTCCACTGGGACTTGTTCCTACTAGGCCTCACCACTGGTGTTGCAGGTATCCTTGGACTGCCTTTTCCGAACGGACTAATTCCTCAGGCGCCATTCCATACCGAATCCCTGTGTGTGACCAAGCTAGAGGCAGATACAGAAGAAAACGGCGAGGCGAAAGGCCACTATGTTCTCAAGCGGACATACGTGGTCGAGCAACGAGTTTCAAATCTAGCACAGGGTCTCCTAACCCTCGGCACCATGACAGGGCCTCTCCTCGTCGTCCTACACCTGATCCCGCAAGCCGTTCTCGCCGGCCTGTTCTTCATCATGGGGTACCAGGCTCTCGAAGGCAACGGCATCACAGCTAAACTACTCTTCTTACTTCGCGACCACGCCCTAACTCCCGGCGGCCACCCTCTCGCGGGAATCCCCCGCCGCGCCGCGGTATGGGCTTTCGTTGCCGTCGAACTCGTCGCTTTCGGCGCTACGTTCGCCATCACGCAGACGGTCGCAGCCGTCGGCTTTCCCGTCGTCATTCTCGCGCTGATCCCGGTCCGCGCACTCGTTCTGCCCCGCGTCTTCACGCCCCATGAGCTTGCTATCTTGGACGCGCCAACCGCTAGCCCGTTTACTATGGAGAGTGTGGGCGGCTCGTACGCTGCGCCTGCTGCTGCTACTGCTACTGATACCTCCTCGGGCGTCCAGGAAGGTGTTCGTAACAGTGTTGGCACGGGCGTCTTCGGGGATGCGACGGAGGGTGAGCCGAGGAGAAAGAGCGAGGAGGTGCTTGCGGAGGAGGGTAGGGGGCGGACGGTCGAGGAGACGGGGGCGCGCGATGAGATTGAGATGAGTCGGTTGGGCGTCAGTAGGAGGGGCCAGGCAAGTCGGGGCGCGGGGAATGAGGAGAGTTAGTATAGCGGAAGTTTAAGTAGGGGTTCGTGCAAACATATGTAGGTAGTTTGGGCATTTCGGGTAGTATTTTGGAACGTATAGAGGCATCGAAGAGACCAAGGATATGTTCTTTTTTAAAATCTAACGTGGCTCGATAGATCTCGAATAGGCGTATATGATTTGATTAGAACGAATCGTGATTTGGAACTCGATATAGTCTTGAATTTATAGAGTGATGGTGGCATCGCGCGAAGCAAGATGCTAAAGGCCTTGGGAGACGATGAGTTGGATTATCCCGAGGCCTCCATAATACAGGTAAGGAGGAAGAAATATGGTCGAGTTATCGGATTCTCGCTGGTAGTATAATGTTTGGATAACGGTAGTTTCATTTGACGGTCAAGCCTCTGGATAGAGCAAGATGCCAGAGTTTGAGGGTTATTAGCAAGCTCTTCCCCCTTTGATACTTGTTCGTAGTCCAAGCCGTAATAGAACAGTAGCCAACGTATAATGATGGTCGGATTTGAAGATAGCAAGGACCAAGAAGTTCATGTATAGGTAGGTATTGTGGTTTAACTATTTGTATTAACTTCTCTTCTCTTCTCTATACTATATCTTGTCTCAAGTGACGGGAAACTACATGCTTTCAAGTCCATATGAATATTTCTCCTTATAGCTTCTCTTACGCTCGTTATATCTATCGCTTGTTACCCCGTGTTAGATAGGTCGTTAACAATATAGGGTATCGATATGTGGTGGTAGTTGCGTAGAATTACTCCGGTGTGCGTAGCACAGCTCGTTCGACCGATGAAATACATATTGTCCCTACTATCCAGAGGACTCGAGTCGCATCTACGATACTTTTAGTTTGGAAACCTCGAAGATGATCGTTTTGATCACACGTAAAGGTATTTTGAGTATGCGTAATACCTTACGATTAGCTATTCGATGTTTGGATACCTAGCAGCGCAGGAGGAAGTTAGTTCAAGTTCTGAGCGACTCGACCTTTGTGCTGTCTAGAGCCGTCTATTATTTAATTTAAAAACTAACTTATCTATGGAATAACTGAATATTTCCCTTCGACTCACTATATCTCTCTCCTGTCTGTCAGTTGGTAAAAGAACGAGATGCAGAAGAGGCTCTATTTCTAGCATCCATTCCCAACAAGCGGCCCTAGGGATGAGTTGAAAAAAGGGGCAAAATAAGGACGATGATGAGTACACGTGCTAGAGTATATAGGAGCGAAAGATTCAAATTCAATTCTTTAATGATATAAACGATTTCGTGATATTTCTAGACGAAAAAACAATCGTGAACCACATCTACATGATCCCCTAAAAATCATCACTAGGCAAACCAAGCGAATCATACACAAATCTTCTGCTCTCTTCAAAGGATCGAATTTATTCAGGTTCCACGATGACGAGGATGTAGGGAAACACATCTCTATTCATTCATTTCGAAATCCTGACTTGTCTATTCTACGGATTGCTCGTTTCGTAAACGATTCGATCGCATCTCACCGGTTCGTTTACTCGCGTGGCAGCTGGGTTTACGACCGCCTATGATAGGGCCATTTTCTGCTTTACCCGTGTATTTAGGACTGCGCTTATAGGGGGAGGGGCGAGGCCCTCTACTCATATGAATTCGCAATATGGACTTCATTAAGGGGAACACAAATCTACCTCTCAAGTTCACATGGTTTAATAAATAATTAGTTACCCTCGACATGAATGCCAATTAGTCGTATGGGCTGGCTCGTACAGGTGCTTTGATAACTTCTACTTGGGTCGAGACTCTAGCTATTGGGTACACGAGTGCTCGCGTGCATTAAGTCTACCTAACTTGGGGTTTAATCGCACCAGGCCCCTTTGTTGTTGT